AGTATCTAGGATTCTTGAAATGCCTCCTCATGTAAATTAGGCCTTTCAGTAAGCCCTAACTCACCCACAAAAAGGAGAAAGAGGCAAGCAATTCCCTGAGTTCAAGGCCAGCCTGGTATAGAGCAAGTTTCAAATAAAGAAAAGCTTAGGTACAGGTGTAATGTATATCTCTTTAATCCCAGCATTCAGGAGACAGAGGCATGACGATCTTTGAGGGTATTTGGGCAAGTCAGTTGAGTTAGTGAGTTGAGAAGCAGTACAGTGAAGCTGAGTTTGTGGAAGTTCGGTTTGCTGGATTCAGAGGCAGTTTTACTGGGAGAGTTGTACAGAGAGAGGTTGAAGAGAGAACAAGCTAGACACAGGTGAATACAGAATGAGCTAGAGAATGAAAAGGAGCCAGGTTAGAACAGAATGCTAGAGTTAGTTTGAGGCCACGCAGAGCAATTCAGTTAGAAGCAGATAGAGGTCAGATTGAATCAGTCAGCTAGGAGAGAAGATTGAACCAGAACAGCTGAGTTGAATCAGCCATGCAGAGTTCAGAAACTGCTAGAAAGGGTGAGCTTATTCAGCAGTAAGTCTCAGAAACTAAAAACATCCTAGGCCTAGATTAGATTATATGAAGGCTAGAGCTTCCAGGTTTAGGCCTAGCTCAGCAGACAGAGGCAGTAAGCATCAGAGATCACAATTTAATCAGGCAAAATAAAAGTTACCTTTGCATCTGGAGTGCCCAACTTGGAGTGCCAAGTGTATTTACCAAAATCTCAAACATTTGATTTTACTAATAAAAACTCAGTAGCCAGATGTAGGGGTGAAAGCCTACTAGCTCGGGGGGAGGTGGGGTGGCAGGGAAAGCACCCAGCTGTCCTTCTTCAGCTGATGTCTCAAAAGGAAAAAGAAGCCTTTTTCTCCATGCCATCTCCCTTCTACTTCCTGTGCAATTCTCTACCCAGCCTCCTGACTTCCTCTTACTGTCTACGGTATTTTTCCTATGTTCATTCTCTGTCAACTGGTTGCTTGCTCCACCTCTTCACCTATAGTTGACTTTATTATTATTATTTTTGTTTTGTTTTGTTTTTTGAGAAAGGGTTTCTCTGTGCAGCCTTGGCTGTCCTGGACTCGCTTTGTAAACCAGGCTGGCTTCAAACTCACAGAGAGCCACCTGCCTCTGCTGCCCCAAATGCTGGGATTACAGGTGCTGACTTTATTTAATCTTGTTTTAGGTTAAAGGTGTGTGCTAGGGCTGAGCCACACCACAATTAGAAACAGGTTTTTCCAATAAGCAACACAATCTCGGGGTTCACAGTTTGATTAAATACCCTGCAAAAGTTGGCTATAAGATCTTTCTTTTCAACTTACCTAGATTTCACCAGTTGATCTAGTTTCAACCTACTCCCATAAGTAACCAATTTCCAAATTTCCCAACTTTGACTTCTTTTCCCGACTGTTATAGAATGTATACCCCCTGCATGTGTCCAGGTCAGAGGCAACCTATATCGCCATCACCTCCCACGTTGTTTAAGAGTCTCTTGTTCACTGCTGCTGCTAGCAGTCCCCCAAGCTTCTGGCAATTCTCCTGCCTTAGCATCTTTTCTCCCTGCTAGAGCAGCAATGGATGGCAGATGCTCATACTACTCTGTCCAGCTTTTCCCTGGGTTATAGGGATCCAAAATCAGGTCATAAGGCTTGCGAAGCAAGTGCTTCACCAACTGAGCCATCTTCCCAGGTTTTTGACAGGATATTGCTGACTAGTCCTGGCTGGCTGGGAACTCGCTGTGTAGACGAAGCTGGCCTCAGACTTGGGACCATTGTTCTGTGGCAGCATCAAGCACTGAGATTACAGGCCTCTCACCACCATGCCCAAAGAGCTGACATCTTTGTAGACAAAGGGGCGTCAGGGACCTCTCCATTTGATTCCGCTATTTTATTCTCCTGTGCTTGCTTGTTCATTTACTTACTGAGGCAGTGTCTCACTGTGCAGCCTTTGCTGGGTTGGGACTTATCATGCAGACTTACATGAATCCTCCTGCCTCTTGCCTGCTCCTCCCTCCCAGTGCTGTGATTAAAGGCTGCATCACCCCTGTTTCATCTTTTAACCTCAACTTTGTTGTTGTTGTTTTCCTGGTGGGGCTGCAGCTTAGCAATAGAGTATAATGATGTAGACACACGAATTCCTCGGTTCCATCCCTGAAGCCCCTAGCAAAGCTAACACATACTCTTCCTCTCCTGGCTGTGGATTCCTTTCCTAGTGTTAAGTCTGGGACAGATGGCTGAGGGTTTTATTGAACATATCAAAGTGGACCCTGGCCACCAGGTTCTCCCAGCATCCTTCAGTCCCTGCCTTGTTACAGGGTCCTCCTGGCTGGCATACCCCATACTCTACCCCTGAACTTTGCAGCCTGGGGGACTGCGTTGCTCTTCCCTATCTAATGCAGCTATTTTGGTCACCTGGCCCCTTTTGTACCTTTGCCCTTTTAGCTACTGCACCAGGTCCTCCCTCTCTTTCCTTTCCCTTCCTCTCTCCCAGTCTGATCATGTTCACTCTGGACTCTCCCAGATACTGCTGTCTCTCAATATGCTCTCCCTCTTATCTACAAGAAACTTTCTCCTAAGAGCAGCCATGTCCTTTCCTTTTTTTTTTCATCCACCTAGCCCATAAGCATCAAAGGCATGCTTTTCTCCACATGGTTCCCAGCTTTAACCCAGCGTCCCGGTGAGGCAGGCATAGTGACCAGGTTAAGTCTTAGCTAAAAAGGTGAATCGCTACAACCCAGGGTCCGCTCATGTTCCCCCCCTAGCTCTTCCCCACACATTCATAAGCCTCTGCTTTCAGAACGCAGCACACCGATGCCCTTTCCAATGTCCTTATTTCTTTGAATAAGTGGCCGAGTGTTAGCAGCAGCATCGAGAGCCGCTCAACACACCTTCTACCTTTGTAGCTTGGTATCAGTCCCATCAAGAAGAGAAACAAAGAAACCAGTCACACCGCCTCCTGGAAACCAAACGCCACCATCCTTGTCAGCCAGCACCTTCTTCCCTCTCCACGTCAGTTTGGGGACCTGATAGCCACCTTCTTTCAGAGGTTGAGGACACTTGCCTCCTCTGCTTCTGCTTCTCATACCACAGTTCCTTTGTCTCCTTTGCACAGATCCCAAAACTCAAACCTCTGTGCCCCCCCGTTACTCCTGCTCTGTATCCCCAACTCTCTTGCCTCTTTCCTCAGAATCTATTCTCCCAAGTTCAGTAATCAACTCTTTTCTTTTGTTGCCATCAGGTGACATCGCAGCAGAGTTTACTGATGTTTGTTTTTCTACGACAACCTTGCTACGTGGTCCGTGCTGCTCTCTGGCGCTGGTGACCTCCTGTCCTAGCGCCAAAGTGTTCAGATGTCAGGCGTATATTACCAAGCTGAACTGATTTCCTTTTTTAATTCTTTCTGTTACCCTCCTGAGTTATAATTCTTTTTTTTTTTTTTCTTTAAAACTTTTAAAGATGAACTGGATTTTTTTTTCTTGTTTGAGACATATTTTTACCATGTTAAATCTGGCTAACCTGGAACTGGATATGTAGAGCAGGCTGGCCTTGAACTTACAAAGATTTGCCTGCCTCTGCCTCCTCAGTTCTGGGACTAAAGGTGTTTGTCACCATGTTTGGCTTGTGATTTTTTTTTTCTTCTTCAGTGTTCTTAGATGTTATATGAGAGCCAACCAAAAAAAGGGGGAAAGATTTAATATCTTTCCTTTAAATAATGTTGTATTCATGTATACTATACAAAATAATTTTGTATATAATGGATATAATGTGTTTTGATCATGTTCACTGTTACCCTTTTTTATAATTTAAATTTTTTTTTATTTTATTTGCACTGGTGTGGGATCTCCTGGAACAGTTACAGGCAGGTGTGAGCTGCCGTGTGGGTGCTGGGGATTGAACCCGGGTCCTCTGAGAGAGCAGCTGGTGCTCTTAACCACCGAGCCACCCGTCCAGCCCGTTATCCTCTTTTGTCCCCCTCCCACTTCTGATAATTTCCTTCCTCTTTCCAATTAGCCACCCACACATTTGTGTAAGTGTGTGTGTCGCGGTGAGGTTTATTAGGGTTTGTTGACAAGGCATCCTGCCAGTGGCTACGTCACTAAAGAAAACGTCCCCGTCAACCCCCGACTGGCTAGAGCCTAGGGGAGTGGTGGGACTCTGCTCCTCCCCTTGCGTGACTGGGAGGCCAGTCTCGTGCAGGTAGGCACAGTTTCTATGACTTCAAGCGTGCACGAGCTGGCTGGGATGACTCACCGTGAAGGTGCTTGCCTCCCGGCCTGATGACCCCAGTTCAATGCCCAGAGCAAGCAGCTCCTGCAGTTTGTCCCGACTTCCGCATACACACCAGGGGCCTTTTTTTTTTTTTTTTTCCAGGGTCCCACTCTTTAAGCGTGGCCGCCTACTGAAGCGTAGTATTCAGGTTTTTTTCTTGTTTTTGAAGAAGTCGTGTAGCTCCGGGCTGTCTGGGACACACTACATAGCCCAGACCGGCCTTGAACCAACCTCAGAACTCTTTTCTAGATCCTGGAATTGCAGGCATGTGCTACCTCAAGGCTCAGAACAAACTCTTCCGGATTCCCTTTTTATTTATTTATTCTTTGATAAACTCTTCTGGGGAAAATTCACATTGTACAGTTCCAGGCAGGACCATTCACAGTGTTAAATTAATGATTTTACATATTGGAACATACTGACTTAACTGCTTGTGTGTTCACGTGTGTGTACAGGAGCGTGCGTGCACGTGTGTGTGCGTGTGTGTATGTGTAGAGGGGGTGTACATGTGTGCCACAGCATTTATGTGGAGGTCAGAGGACAACTTTATAGAGTCAGTTCTCTGATAGACAGAACTCAAGTTACCTTTACTTTCTTTATGCTAGTGAGAAATCTCAGGGTCACTCATTCGCCAATCACCTCACCGACTGAAACAATTATATGAAACACACTGCGTGAAAGAAAATCAAGATCCTCACTTTGTTCTTGGAAAACTTTATTACAATTTAGACAACAGAGCAACAGACGGGAGAGTAAGGCTGTCCTTCATAGCTGTACTCGGCAAACCCCACGAGGGCCGAGATTTAGGTAAAGACGTTTATCAGTTTATACTATACTTAACTCCCGATCTGAGATCAGGAAAATTAGTCAAAAAGGCTAGAGACAGATTTGCAGGAAGCCACACCAGAAGGCAGAGGAAGTGATATGTAACGCTGGGTAAGTCTGTCCTGATTTGACCCTCAGAGGAGTGAGTTCCTGAAGACCCGGAGCCCGTGGCTCACACCACAAATGCCCGCAACGGAGCTGCGCTTCCGGCAGCCCGGGCATGACAGGACTGCCGTGCCACTGACAATCCAGACGGAGGTTCAAAACAGTCTAGTCACACCTCGAGGACAAGACTCGTGTATTTCTTTAGGGGAAACATAAACACCGTGACTAATTGGATCTTGTCTTATTTTACAATTATAAATTCTACTTTTAAGGACATTAAAAACAAATAGACATGATAGCACTGTCAAACACCTGAAAAAAGGGCTCCAGACAGAATGTCCCCATTAACCACCGCAGCCCAGAAGTCTGTCTCAGTGTGCAGATCTGACTTCTGAGTAAGAAACAAACTGTTGCTTACTTGGATTTGCCTTCTGTTAACAGTGCACACCCTGCCAGGGAGCTGTGAGCATCTGCTTTCAGGTTCTTCTTCCGCTGTATTGTCCCTTCAACTAAAATGCACTTAGACCTAACCAGACAATCCAAAAATGCTATAATGACCTTCAATCATTTTCCTTTTTATTAAAAAAAAAGAAATCTAAAGACAGGGTTTCACTATGTAGCCCAAGCTGGCCTCAAACCCATGATCCTCTCGCCTCAGGCTCTTGAGTGCTGGATCACAGGCTCTCGTCACCATGCCCCGCTCTGGAATCTCCTTTTGCCATAGTTGATCTTTCGTCAATTTGGCCTCTAGTCTTTGATTTTAGGTGTACAATAGTAAAATACTGCATCATGTACAGACATCTTGATCAATGATCTCAGAGCCAGTCATCTTTCTAAACAAGTTGCCAATGTGAAATATGCAATATTGTTGAAAATAAATATACAGTATACAGAAGTTTCTACATTCCCACACAGACTTAAAAATGAGGTAATACAAACCTAACTGATGAATCCTTTTATCATTCTGGAAATCTCAAGGAAACCATGGTGACTCGCCTTTCCTCAGATCTTTTCATGTCCTACCTCCTTTGAATTTGGAGTACATTTTTTTTTTATGCTGAAAAATTCTTTAAGAAATCCTTGAGCTTTGTTGGGTAGTCTGTCATCACTCCAGTTGCTCCCAAATCAAAAGCTCTTTTGTACTCATGTTCTTCATTTAAAACCCAAATGTACACCTGGAAATTGGGGTATGGGAAGTACAAGAAGAAAGGTTAAACAGAAGATGCCTTTCTAGCTACCCGCTGTGGTCGCAGCACACGGACAATGCACCTTGCGAAGGCTGTCATTTCTGTCAGATCTACACTGCCCACCCCTTGGACCTCGGCTGCCCTGGTTTACACGGGAGCCGGCTGATGACTGACTGATCACTGACTGCAAACACACGGGCCTCACTGCAGTTGTGGCATCAGAAGGGGCCCAGACAGAATTAAGCCCTGCATAATGCAACTGTGGCCGGACTTACTTGGATGCCCCGGGCCGTGAGGTGGTCAAATAAAGCTTTCCGCATTAATAAGCTAGAGGGAAAGAAAACAGCAGGTTCAGACATCTTAGTCACTAGGATTAGAATGAACCTTTAGTCTTCTCTGTCAGTTTACAGGGTTTAGAAATCTCTAGTTTAATACAGGTGCTTCAGCAACACAAACAAACATCTCAAGCCATAATGACTGTTAACACATTGACTTTCTCTCTTTCTATGAAAAAAAAAAAAGATTTTCCAGTTTCAAATAACTGTAAAGTTTACTTTTAGATTACAGATCACTTAAGCAAGATGAAAACTAATAATACTGGAAAATTACATTTGTTATAAAGATTTTATTTCAATTATGTCCATATGCGTGGTGTCTCTGTGTGGACGCATATGGAGGTCAGAAGAGGGAGTCAGATGCCTTAGTGCTAGAGTTACAGGCAGCTGCAAGCTGACTGACGGGGGTTTTGGGAACCAAACTCTGTGCTGGAGCAGTGTGTATCTCAACCACTGGGCCGCTCCTGCAGCCCCTACAGATTTAGCTATCCGTTTATATGTATAAAAGTGATTAAATAGGAAAATCTAGCAATCATGAACTTTAACACCAAATAAAATGTATTTTTGAAAACCAGAAATTAAGCCAAGAATAAAATGCAAACACCCCCTCCCAAAAAAAAAAAATAGACCCCTGTGACATACAGAAAAGATAGAACTAACTCTCTAGCCGATCATGGTGGTGCACGCCTTTAGTCCCAGCACTCAGGGAAGGCAGAGGCAGGAGGATCACTGTAAGTTTTTAGGCCATCCTGGTCTACAAGGAGAGTGCAGGATAGCCAAGGCTACACAGAGAAATCCTGTCTAAAAACAAACAAACAAAACAATAAAACAGAGAGAAAAAAAGAAAACACGGACTTTTCTAAGACTCTCTGGAAGAGAAAGTAAATAATAAAAGGCTGTGTTTAGAATACTAACTTAAGCATTTAAGGCTCCATTTGAAAAACAAAAATATGAAACACTTTGTTGTTGTTTTTAAAGTACTTTTCTACTGAGATTTGGTTATTTCATTTCATTTCCGGGACTGGAATTACATAAGGTTGTGAGCTGCCATGTGGTGCCGGGAATGGAACCCAGGTCCGTCTAGGAAGAGAAGCCAGCGCCCTTAACCACTGAGCCATTTCTCCAGTCCCTGTTGTTTTTAACCAAAATGAAACTCAGCACTTGTGGAAATTAAAGTCCTTTCCTTAAAACAGGCATCAGGACCCTGTAGGGAGGGCTGCATGTCAGCTGCTGTCAAGTTTTTGGCGCAAATATTTCTGAGAAATGTACTCGTAGGCACGCCCACTTCTCTTCACCCTGTATTGTAACACGCACGTCTCTCCGCCATGTTGAGCTGTGGGTTTGTGGAAACAGCAAGGAAGCAGAAGGGGAAGGCTAGCCTTTGCGACCTTGCTGGTAGCTGGCTGTGTGGCCCTGAGTTAATCACTTGAGTGGCTGGACGCTTGGCTTTCTCGTGAAGGTAGAACACTTCTCCTGGCTTTGTAACTAGGCCAGTTCAGGTGGTTTGCTGGGATCCACTCGCACAGCAGGTGCTCAAGTCCTGGTCACAAATGACGTGGTACAGTGTGGACCGACTGTACCACGTTCCAGCGCAGCATCCGATAACTACAGCTGCAGGACCAATGGGGTGGCCTGGGGGGGCGGGGAGAGCTTTATCCTTGTTGTGGAAAGAGAGAAACAACTCCTCAGAGTTGCGCCTGGGCTTCCACACGATGTAGCACAAGCCACACTCCCCAATGCACACAGAATAACTTTGTTAAAGTATTTTTTAAAAGGTCAGGCATGGAGGGGCTGGAGAGATGGCAGTGGTTAAGAGCACTGGCTGCTCCTTCAGAGGACCCAGGTTCAATTCCCAGCACCCACATAGCAGCTCACATGTCTGTAACTCTAGTTCCAGGGGATCAGGCATCTTCACACAGACATACATGCAGGCAAAACACCACTGCACGTTAAAAAAAATAAATAAACGGGGAAGAGGACTGGGAGGGAAAGAGGGAGGTGAAACTATGCTCAGGATGTAATATATGAGACAATAAATTAATAAAAAATAAATAGGGCTGGAGAGACGGCTCAGCCATTAAAGGCTAGGCTCAAAACCAATAAATAATGAATAAATAAATAAATGTCATTATATCAAGCAATCAATCTATCAATCCCTAAACAAATCTTAAAGAAGAAAAAGCCAGGCATGGTGGTGCAGGCTTTTAATCCCTCCACTGGAGCATAGAGGAGGAATCTCAGCGAGTTCAAGGCCAGCCTGGTCTACATGGCAAATCTTGGTGATCTAGAGATGGCTTGGCAGATAAGAGCACTCGCTACTTTTGCAGGGGACTCAGGCTGATTCCAGTCACCCACACCAGGCCGCTGTGGGTTGCAAGTTTACAAAAGGTCAATGTTACAAGAGGTCCAATGCTCTCTTCTGGCCTCCTCAAGCACAAAGCATGCATGTGGTACACAAATGTACAAGCAGAGGTGCACGCGCACACACACACACGCGCACACACACAATTAAAAATACTAATCTTAAAATATAGAGAGAGAGCCATTGTAGTAATTAAAATACTTACGTATCAGAAAGCCAGATGAGAAACTTATGACCTTTGGACATAGTGTTCGGTTCTTTTAGCCTAAAAGAAGTCAAAGACTGAAGTGTGAATTAGGAACACAGAATGTATTAGTGTGATAACCATGACAAATCTAAACTGAAAACAGTGCCTATATGTAGAACGGAAGGCAGAGGCAGGAGTTCCTGTGAGTTTCAGGCCAGTCTGCTCTTCATAGTCAATTCCAGGACAGTGACAGCTACATAGTGAGACCCTGTCTCAAATAAAAAATAAAAATAAAAATAAAATAAAAATAAAAAATACTTGCCAAAGGGTGAAAATAACAGAAATTTGGTTCTGTCCCCACTGGTTTTAAGCTAACTTTTACTAAAACTATACAAAGCTAAACAAAACTAAGGACAAATTTATCTCCCAGAGACCTGGTATCCTAGGCGTCTCACACCTTGTACTTTGTTTTGGCGTATCCTTTTACTTCTGTTCTGTCTAATAAAATTTAATGTGGGGTAGATTCAATGACATAACCAAAGTATAGAGAGATGGCTCAGTAGTTAAGAGCACTGGCCAGTCTCACAGGGACCCAGTTCAGTTCCTGGAACCCATATAGCACCTCACAACTGTCTGTAATTCCAGTTCTAGAGGATCTATAGCTTCTTTTGGCCTACACAGGTACCAGACACACATGTGTACAGATTTGTGTGTATGTATAATATCCATACAGAAAAAAGATAAAAATTTAAGAACAACCAGGTGGTGGGAGCTCATGCCTCAAGACAGGGTCTCACTATTTAGCCCTGACTGGCCTGGAACTCCGTATGTAGACCAGATTAGCCTCAAACTCACACAGATTCCCATGTCACTTCCTTCCTGGTGCTGGCACCAAAGATGAGCACTGCCATACCAGACAGACTGCTTCTAATCCATAGAACAGTTTTTTTAGTTGTTTGTGTTTCTTGGTTTTTTGAGACAGGGTTTCTCTATGTAGCCCTGGCTGTCCTAGAACTCTGTAGAGCAGGCTGGCCTTGAACTTAGAAATCCACCTGCCTTTGCCTCCCTAATGCTAGGATTAGAGGTGTTGCTCACCACCACCTGGACCAATTTTTGTTTTTAATAGGAACTCTTGGAATAATGTTTTCTCTGACACTGGCCTAGATGGAAAGTTCTGGTAAAAATTTCAGGAATCTGAGGGATTCATATCTCAAATATTAATTACCTCACTTAGATGCAACTCCTAATTATTTTGCTAACTGTCCTGTGTGCTGTGCACTGCATACAAATAGAAACACAAATAGCAAATAGAAATAATATTCCGTGTCTCAAGTCATGACCACTGTGTATATGTGTGTGGCATTTGTACCTATTCATGTGGGTTTGTGCAAGTATATGTGTACACACGCAATGCCAGAGGTTGACATGGCGTCTTTCTCCATCATTTTCAACCTCTTTTTTTTTTTGAGACAGGGTGTCTCACTGAACCTTGAGCTCACTGGTTCGGCTGGCTCAGGTCCTCACGCTGGCACTGCAGACAGTTCACCAACAGAGCCATCTCTTTAGCCCTTATTCTCACTCCTTGAAGCTGAGACTTAAGGCCGCAGCGTCTGTGCTTCCTATGTTTGCATTTTGATATCATTCACTTCCTTAAAGAGCGCACGGAGTGACCTGGAGAACATGGTGCCCTATTCTAGAAGGAACGCAAACACACGTCAGTAGTAAACGTTTCAGATCTTTTTTTTTTTTTTTGTACAGCAAATGAAAACAGTTTCTTTGCAGACAAGTGTTTTTTTGAGCAGGGTGGGGTGGCGCATGCCTGAAATCCCAGCACTCTGGAGGCTGGGTGAAAGCACCGTCATGAGTTTAAAGTCAACTGGGCTACAGTAATGAGGGGTGTGTGCGTGCATGGGTATGTGCGTGTGCATGAGAGAGAGAGAGAGAGAAGGGTGTTTTCACTTGTTCTGTCTATGAAATGACCATGAAGACTTTTAACAAATGTAATCGAGAACTGAGAAGTCCACCACTAAGACAATCGAACAGTGAAGGGGACGGGGGCGGGGGCTAAGCACAAGAATCTGAAATGGGCCATGGGGATGGCTCCGGAGGGCGCTTAATGCCAAATCTCAGGACCTGAGTTTGGTGCCCAGGACCCAGGCGGTAGAAGGAGAGAACTGACTGCTGACATACAGATGTGCGCGCACACAATAAATCAAAGTCAGAAAAGCTCAGCTGGGGGTGATGGAGGTGTGCCCAGACAGCACAGTGCTTATCCGAGCCCTAAACCGGGAGCCAGGCACAGTGCTGGGCACTTCGCAACCCTACTGCTGGGGGGCAGAGACAAGCAGACACCTGGGGCATGCTGGCCAGCTAGCTTAGCCCTAGGCCCCACCCCATAGGAGATCCTGCCTCAAAAACAGGAGGGATGGCTCCTGAGGAACAATGCCAGAGGTTGCCCCCCGCCCCCCCCCCCCCGCTCTCATACACACACACACACACGAAGAAAATATAATCTAATTTTATTAAGAAGTTTTTGATAGAGCCAGGGGCGAGGTGGCAAACACCTGTGGTCACAGGGAGGCAGAGGCAGGCAGAGCTCTATGAGTTCAAGGCCAGCCTGGTCTACAAAGAGAGTCCAGGACAGCCAAGGTTACAGAGAGGAACCCTATCTTGTAAAGCCAAAAACAAACAAAAAAAGAAGCTTTTGATGTCAGAATTCTTTTTTCTGTGTTTGTGTGGGAGACTAAACCCAGGGCTTCATGTGTGCTAATAAGGGCTCTACCACTAAAACATATCCTAAGTCCACAAACAGCTGTTCTTCCTTCCTTCCTTTTTTTTTTTTTTTGAGACAGGGTTTCTCTGTGTAGCCCTGACTGTCCTGGAATTCATTCTGTAAAACAGGCTGCTGGCCTCAAACTCACATATCCGCCTGCCTCTGCCTCCCAAGTACTGGGATTAGAGGTGTGCACCACCACTGCCCAGCTATTGTTAAAATGTATTCTTTAAAAATCTCCTATGTAGCCAGGCGCAGTGGCACACTCCTGTAAAAGCAAACAAACAAACAAACAAAAAAATCATCCAGTGTATATTTTGATCATATTAAATCCCCACAATTTTTTTATCCTACTCCCACTCCCTTTGAACCATTTTCCCCCCCGATAAGCCCCCTTCCCCCTTCTTTTTTTTTTTCTTTACTTTTTCGAGACAGCCTTGGCTGTCCTGTACTCATTTTGTAGACCAGGCTAGCCTCAAACTCACTGAGATCCACCTCCTCTGGCTCTCTGAGTGCTGGGATTACAGGCATGCACCACTGTGCCCAGCTTAAACTCCTTTCATGGCCCCTCTGGTTTTTTTAAACTCAGTTTTTTTAGGGTTGCTTACATGAGCGTGGGTACGGAGTTACTGACTAGAACACTGGCAAGGTAGCCGAGGCTACGCCACCTAGGAAAGTCTTCCTCTCCCTCAGAGGCTGTCAACTGCCTATAGCTCCTCAGCTGGCGGTGGGAACGGTCCATTTCTTCCTATTGCTATTTGCTTTAGTCTGTTTTACTTAGGTCTCAGTTCTAGAAGCACACAAGCCCAGCCCTGGTATCTACAAGATACCAGGTATTCTTAGAGACAGGAGAGCAATGGGCACTTGGAGAAAGAGGTACTTGGATGGGAGAGGAAGCTGAAGAAAACCAAGAGCAAAAACTCATTCCCACAGAAAGGAATTCAACCCCCTCAATCATCATCTAATCACCTCCAAGAGACCCTACCACCACTCAGCACGGATGAGACCAACCCCAAGTTTAGGGGAACCACAGCCACAGCTGAGGAAGAGCTGGGAGAAGCCACAGCCAGCATGTGAAAGGCCTGCATTTCTTCCCCAGCACCAAAGAATCAAACCATGGTGGCAGAGATGAACGTAAGCCATTACTTGAGCATTCTGTAACAGTGACTGGTAAAAAGCATAAGGACTTACTTCAGTATGATAGAAGGCATTGGAATCTCAAAAAACTGTTCTCGAATGGGCACAAAGGGCAGGAGGCCGGTGAAGAAAAGGCCAAGGATGAGTAGCACACGCTGCAGGCTGAAGAGTATGGGGATGTCTGAGTTCTAAAACACAAACAACACTAAGTGTCACTTTAGAAATCAGGATCGCTTTATAAACCTTAGAAGATATTCCCCAGATTATACGTTGACAAGCGTTCTCTGAATTATGACTATTCATTACAATAACAACTCAGAATTCTATAGCTAGTCTAAAAACCAGTAAGGAATGATTTACTCTGGAGCCCCGTGGGGCAATGAATGTCATTAAAGTTTTCTCTGTTGCTTCTGTAACATGTCCGTCTGTTGGCTATAGTGTGAACAGCTAGAGACTAAACCAGAGACTAGGAAACACATCAAAACAACAGCAAAAGAGGGAGGACACAGGAAATATCTAGTAATGTGGACGGACAGCTCCGCAGCTCCAGACTGGAGTATCTAGAGTGCAGACAAGCACATCAGCTGCAGCTGTTATGGATTGAACAGAGAACATACAGTGTGACGGTGCATGCCTGAACTCCCAGCACCTGAGAACAAAGGGATCCCAAGCTTGAGGCCAGCCTGGGATAGATGAGGCCCTTTTGTAGAATGAATGAATGAATGAATGAATGAATGAATGAATGAATAGAATTTTGTGAGTTAGAGCAAGAATCTAACTCTTACTTACAAGTAACAACAGACTCACAGGAAGTCACAAAAACAGCAGAGTGGGATATGTTCTTGCCTCGGCTTCTCCGGAAGGTGACATGTGATAAGACTGTATTAGAGGACCAAAGCCAGTTGACACTGATGTATCGGCTTCATGTTAATTAGGTGACAGACTTTATTCAGCTCACATCATTTTTTGGGGGTTACCATTTTTAACCTGCTTCCGTTCGTGTGTGCTCATGTGTTTTAATTCTGTGCGATCCATGTACAGATTCTTATAACCACCGCAAACGAGATAGAGAATGTTCTATCAACACTGCCCACTCCCTATCCTCTCCAGGTCCTGTTTCCTGGCAGCCACCAATCTACAACCCACATCTACAGTTTTGAGAAGGTTACATAAATGGAATCACACAGCGTATAATCCTTCTTTTAAAGAAGGGTTTTATTTATTCACTTTTGTATGTGTGTGTGTACCTGTGTGGGTATATCTGTTGTGGTGGTGCTCATACCTGTGTTTGGAGGTCGACCTCTCACCTGTCATGTGGATGCTGGGTACCAGACTCAGGCTTCAGGCTTCATCAACAAGTGATTCCCCAACTGAGCCGCCTCTCTGGCCTCAGCGTGAGACTTTGAGAGAATTATGTTTATTTGTTTAGGGGTGGGGTGTACATATGAGTACCCAGAGGATAGAAGTCAGCCTGCTCCTCCTTCCACGGTCTGATCCCTGCTGAGGTTCCTTAGGCTTGGCTGTAACCATCTCCTACCCTGTCAGCATGCATGATTTTGAGTGTGTTTGTGTGCACGTCTGTGTGTTTGAACCCAAGGCTTTGAGCATTGCTAAGGAAGTGATCTACCACTGAGCTATAGCACCATAACTTTTTTGACTTTTTGAGACAGGGTATTGCTAAGCTTCCCAGGCTGACCTTAAATTTACTCTGTAGTGCAGGTTTACCTTGACCTTCTGATCCTCCTGCCTCAGCCTCCAGAGGAGCTGGAATTACAGCCCTGCACCTCAAACCTGGTTTCTTACAGTAATAATTTTTTTGGATTTTTTGTTTGCTTGTTTGTTTTTTGAGACATGGTCTCTCTATGTACACCAGGCTGGTTTCAAACTCATACCCTGCCTCTGTCCCCTTTGCACTGCGTGTGTTACCATGCCTAGCTTTATTTTTAATTTTATATCTGTGTATGTGCATGTTGGGCACGTGGGTGTTCACGCCACAGTGCAAAAGCGGCAATCACAGGACAACTTTGGGGAGTCGGCTTCCTGCTTCCACCTTTGTATAAGTTTTGGAATAAATGACTAAGATGAAATTGCTGATTCATGCGGTAACTGTACCTTTGGTTTTATTTAAAACAATCCCTCTTCAGCTACTGAGGAAAGCACTTGGACATTCCCTACCAGCAACCCCAGGCAGAACCAGCTGCCTGGCATTTGTATTCCTGTTATTGTTAGAAAAGTTGTGTGATGATTCAGAAATGCCAGCAGCTCAAGAGGCTTCCAGAGTGTTCCCTCCCTGTGGTAACACCTGAAGATAACATTAGACAACGACCGGCTGAGGGAGAAAATAAGACCTGAAGCCACATAGCAACTGACCGGCTCTGTGGTTTCCTTTTGTTCACAGGCTACCATGGTCCCTCACAGCCCACAGTGCATAAATTACTGGGCTTAACGAAGCCTCAGCTGTGCTCTGAGTCAGAGCATGCTCGACCTAGAATGTTTTCTGTTTTTTCTGCTGAGAAGGAAGGACTGTCCTAAAAGTGTTCTTTGAATCTGGTCATTTCTATTGCTTCATGATCTTCATCCCTGCGCTTTGCAATCACTTGTATCCTAAAGAAGGGCGTTGGTCTGAGGGTATAACTCAATGGTAGAGTGGCTTGAGGTAGCAAATGTGTCAGGCTAGGCTGCGTCCCTAGTATCACAAGAGAAATGAATCAACTGTATGCATAAAAATGAAAAGGAATCCTCAGTTCTTAAGACTGTTTTTTTTAAACATTTGAATTCCAAGTTCTATGAGCTTCCGAAAGTTGCTGGAGGAAATGTAGAAAATCATTCCAAAAATAAAGCAAATTTTTACAGACATATTTGCAACCACCGGAAATTTTTCAAAGGGTGAGTGTCCCACTGTATGTACCATGCAACACTCATCACCTTGGTTTGAGTGTGTGGGGGAGAGCAAAAACAACTTGGAGAACTAAATACACACAGAAATTCGATGTGCCAATGAAAGAGACATTACAATACAGAAATTTTCATCTATAACACGCACAACATTCACGGGCAAATCTTCTTAGTATGTGCTAGACTGCTGTGAACTGACTACAACCCAGACAGTAGGACTTAGGTAAACTCCAGGGTAGGCAGACAGACAGGGAGGAGAGAGGCCACGGCTAGGTAACAAATGGCTGGCTCAAGAAACCTGAGGCCTGATCAGGATATGTCACACAGCAGTTTGGGACAGATCAATCTCATATCTGCATGCAAACTGACCAGTCCTAAAGTAGGGGAATGACTCTTCAGGGGCTTTAGCCCCCCCCCCCCCCCCCCCGCAGAAGGGCTTTTTCTAGCCCCGCCCCACCCTCCTTTTGCAGAAGGACTTTTTCCTCTGTTCATCAATTGTGCGGGCTTCCTTGCACTGCCCCCCCCCCCCCAACCCAACACCTTCCTTCAACTGCCGATTCACGGTAGCCTTCAGGTTCTTCCTGTCTCTTAATTCTTTAACTGGTGGAGAAAATGAACCCAATCAAAACCCCTGGACCGTATCATAACAAACATAAGACGCTAAGAGGCAGTCCCTCATCTCTGTAAGCAACTACTGGCTAGTTCCTTCCATGGGCATATGAGCTAGGAAACAGGTGGCTTTTTCGAATTCCTGTTACAGGGACTCATACAAACACAGGGGCAGCGCTCTGTGTCGCTTCTGAAGCTTACCTCCTTGTAACACTTGTCTACTATTTCAGAGCTGGCATTGCCCCACACTGTCAGGTGCTCTCGCTTATATTCCTTTACCAGTTCTGAGACCTGCGTGTGAAAATACAAAATTGTATGCATCTGCCTGTAGGCAAATCTACTTGCACATTTTACTTTAAAAATGGGTTACAATCAATTACCTGCCAAAAGATAGTATAAAATTGTACAAGCTGGGTGCGGTGGTGCAGGCCTGTAATCCCAGCACTCAGGGAGGCAGAGGCAGGTGGAGCTCTGAGTTCGAGGCCAGCCAGTCCAGAACAGCCAAGGCTACACAGAGAAACCCTGTCTAGAAAAACAAAAACAAAACAAAGCAAAAAAAAAGTGGAAAAACTGGTAACTGAATTGAGATTGTTATGAAATACAAATTGTTTACATTTACCACTGTAAGATGAATTTGATAGAATATGACTACTTTGTGATGGGACATAAACCAACCACAAATGAAACAACTTAAAACCGGTGGTCAATTACAGAAATGTCAGATGAAGGAAGCCTCAGAGGGCTTACTGTTACCTCACTCCAGGATAGGCCGGCTCACTCTGAGAACAGGCCACAGCAGTTTCCTCCGTGACCTTTATGGGGCATTACTCTAAACAATGCTGAACCCCAGCACATGTAGCTCCCTTGATCACTATCAGTCTTTCACTCTTCCAACCTTACTCAGCTTTTGAAATCAAACAATGCTGATGCCTGGAATATCACATTTCCTGGGAACTATGACTCTGCCAGGGCTCTGACCTTGCCGGGGGCAATGACTTCGCACCTTCTTAATTAGCGTGTTGTTGTTGACTTTGATGTCGATGTTAATGGGGGTCTCAGGAAAAGCCTCAAATACTTCCTTCAGCAGTGGGATGCGGTTATCTGTTCCTTCACACCTGCAGCCTGAGAGAGCAACATTTGTAAATGCTAACTTCCATTCTTAAAGGCTCAGTCTTACTTTCGTAATGGCTGGAATTTACACTGCATTCTCATTATAGGGCAGTGACAAGATGAGGCAGAGTAGAAAGGAGAGGAAAGTCACGTGAATGCAGCTGAGAACTCAGACTCGTGAGCACTTGGTGGCTTCCTTGTTTCCCCTGTGCGTTATCTGACACACTACAATATAACGTGCCTACAGTTCTTAGTGTAATATTTTCATATCCATGAAAGTATTTTCATATCCATGAAAGTATTTTCATGCTATAATCTGTAATTATGATTTCAATATTTGTTTGTTTATTGTTTTTTTTTTGTTTATTGTTTATGTATTGTTTTTGAGACAAGGTTTCTCCGTGTAGCCGTGGCTGTCCTGGAACTCATTCTGTTGACCAGGCTGACCTTAAACTCGGAGATTCACTTGCCTCTGCGATTTCAATTTTTAAAGTTTTCAAGTTAACTAGAGTCACACGAAGACTGTATGAAATAATACGCACATCTATGCACACTTCGTCTCGACTTCCCAATGGTAACGTCTTGCAAAAGCAAGTACGTATCACACGCAAAACACTGACACAGATACAGACCACCGATACTATTTTCTCACTGGCTTATTTCTTGCCTTTTGTGTTTATGCTCCTTGGGTTAAACCCAGGGCCTCACACATTATAGGCAGCGCTGTACCACTGAGCTACATGATGCTTTAAATGAGCTACCCACTGATGTTTTAAATGTTCTTGGCTTTTGAGACAGTATCTCAGGTAGCTCACCGTGGCCTTGAATTCACTGAGAGCTGGCCTTTAGTGACTGATCCTCCTGCCTCCACCTCCCAAGTGTTGGGGGCTACACATCTTTGTGACCTCACTCAACCTGCCACTAATCATATTATGAGGATTTTTAAAGGTTGAGTAGCTACACAAGAATTTAATTAACTTATTTAAGAGAAGGTCTCATTCTACATAGTCCTGGCTGTCTGTAAACTCTCTATGTAGACCAAGCTGGCCTCAAACTCAAGAGATCTGCCTGCTTCTCCCTCCCTACTGCCCAGCTATTTATTTTGATTTAACCACTCATGAGTTGAGGCTGCTTTGCTACGAGATTATAATTGAAACACACACACGCACACGTGTGTGCATACACACACACAAAAAAAAAATACAAATGAGTATTTTTAAAGATGTATTTATTTTATTTTAAGTGCGTAAGTATTGGGCCTGCATGTCTGTATGTGCACCAAGTGTGTGGCTGGTGCCGACAAAGGCCAGAAGGGGTTGTGGGATGCCTAACGGGAGTTAGAGATGGTTGCTAGTCACCATGTGGGTGCTGGGAGCTGACCCCAGGCCCTCTGAAAAAGCGGCAAGTACTTTTAATCACTCAACCATCTCTCCAGCTTCAATCTGTTGTTATTATTATCAATATAGTTATTCAAAGAAAGGAGTAATAATAATTATGTATAAGGCTGGTTGTGCTAGTGTACACTTTTAAACACTCAGGAAGCAGAGACAGGCAGATCTCTGTGAGTTTGAGACCAGCCTGGCCTACATAGTGAGTTCCAGAACAGCCAGTACTATGTAGAGACCCTGTCTCAAAAAAAAAAAAAAAAAAAAAAAGACAAATGATAGAACTGAATGTATAAAGGTGCTTGCTGTCAAGCCTGACGACCTGAGCTATTTCCTAAGACAAAGTGAGTCTACAAAGTGGTCTACAAAGTGAGTTCTAGTGGACAGCCAGGGCTACACAGAGAAACTTTGCCTCAAAGCAAGAGCAACAATAAAACAAACAAAAAACACAACAATAAAAACAATTCTTGAGATGACTATTTAGCACTTACAACTGAATTTATATTTATCACAGACTACATAAATCATAAAAAAAAAAAAAAACAACCTACATTTAAAAATGGAACATTTGGGTTAGGGAGAAGGTTAGAAGAATCTGTTGGCTTTCAGAGGACCTAGGTTCAGTTCCCAGCACCCACACTGTGGCTCACAACCGTTCATGACTCCAGTTCCAGGAGATCTAACGCCATCTTCTGGCCTCTAAAAGCACCAGGCACATATCCACATGCAGGGAAAATATTCATACACATAAAATAAAATATAAATATAAATATAAAGCCAGGCATGGTGGCACACACCTTTAATCCTAGCACTCGGAGAGATAGAGGCAGGCAGATCTCTGTGAGTTCTAAGCTAGCCTGATCTACCAAGTAAGTACAGGACAGTCAGGACTACACAGAGAAACCCTGTCTCAAAAACAAAAAACACCCCCCCCACACACACAAATAATAAATCTAACATTATTCTTTAATGTGAGGAACTCAGACTAAGAATGGATCAGCTGGTAGTGTTTGCCCAGCATTAGGCTGTGGGTTAGAACACCAACACTGCCTAAACTGGTCATGGTGGTGTATGCCTGTGATCCCAGCTCTTGGGAGATGGAGGCAAATTCAAAATCATCCTTGGCTACACGGCAAGTTCAAGGCTACCCTGGGCTATATGACCTCGTTTTTGAAAAACAAAGGGGAAAAAAAATACCAACCGTTTTTGAGACAGTTTCCCTGTGTAGTCCTGGCTGACCTGGAATTCATTATATAGAAACTAGTCTTAAGTTCTGAGATCCGACTGCCTCTGCCTCCTGAGGGCTGGGATTGCAGGCCCGCACTGTCACTGCCAGGCTCTCTCTCTGTGTGTGTGTGTGTGTGTGTGTGTGTGTGCTGGAGCCGGTCCCCATGGTCCTCACAGGTCCCAGCACCCAATGGCGTTCCCTTTGCTCTGAGTCTGCTGCAGTGGGTGGGTCCCTTTTGTGCGTCTTTCCCCCCACCATCCCTGGCAATCTTGGGGTTTACCCTCCCCAGTGTTTTTTATTTCCATGGGGCACACTCCGAAGTAGCGGTGTAATTTAAAACAAAATTTTTTTAGGTTTATTCTTTATGTGTGTGCTTTGCCTGCAGGCATATATACACACCACACACGTCTGGTGCTCTTGGAGGTCAGAGAATATCTGATCTAAAACTGAAGGTACAGATGGTTGCAAGCCACCAGAGAGGTCTTCTGCAAGAGCACCAAGTGCTCAGAACAGCTAAGCCATCTCTTCAGCGACTCAAAAAAAAAAAAAAAAAATTTTTTTTTATAAACTCAGTTTCTCAGTTGTGCCAGTCTTACCTCAATCTCAACAAACACACGTGGCCGTTGGCCGCCTCATATCACACCACTGAAATGCTGAAAGTTCCCGTCACTGCAGAAGGTTCTACTTGGACAGTGATATTCTAGTTAAGTAAATAACTGTTGTCTTCTAAGTACAGAAAGCTGACATTCAGATGACTTGCCGTGAAACGAGAGCTACCCATAGCCAAGTAAGATGTACACAAGGGACACAGAAAAAGGTCAAACAGACAAAACTAACTTTAGACAAACAAGTGATGTAGATCTGGGCATCACACACATCATAGCACTCAAGAGGGTTAGGGAGGAGGAGCTCAGTAAAACAGCCTGGGCTGTCCAGAGAGACCAAGCGGCAACGAGCCAGCAAGATGGCTCAGCAGGGTCTAAAAACCTTGGCTGGTTGAAACTTGCTGTGTAGACCAAGCTCAGAGACATACCTACTTCTGCCTGGTCTAAACTTTGAATAGTCTAAAATCAACTATGAATCAAATGGCAATAAATGCAACTATGAATCAAATGCAAAATTTTCTGTTTTTGTTTTTATTCTTTAGGTTGGTGGCCCAGGAGCCAGGGGCAAGTAGATCTCTGTGACTTTGAAGCTAACCTGGCCTACACAGTGAGACCTTAAAAAACTTAAAAAAAAAAAAAATCTTGACAGCTGTGTGAAATCTGAGTGCCTGCCACTACTTTTCAGTAACAGGCAGGGCAACCGCTCGGAGGGAGGAGAGGACCGTCTGTCTGAGTGCTGGCCAGGTAAGGTGAAAACAGTGTCAAGTTCCAGCTCCGTCATTTACTTGTTATGTGACCTTCATCAAGTTAATCTCCTCTGTGACTTCAGTTTCCTTCTCTGTAAGGGAAGACAGGCTAGCTGACTTCAGTGGTCTCTCTATTCATAAGTTTAAGATCTTAGGAGGAGACATAAAACCAGGAAATAAAAAGTTTCGTTTCGTTTTGAGACAGGGTCTCATGTAACTGAGGCTGGCCTCCAACTTACAAGGTACAAGGATAACCCTGAACTTGTAGTCTTCCTGTATGGCTTCCCCTGACCCTGAACCGGGATTATAAACCAGTACTTCACATTAAGTTTATTCAGTGCTGGGAAAGTGCTCTACAGGCCAAGCGAAATACCTAACTCCCAAAGTGTTTTTTTTTTTCTTTAACATTTGTGGAGCCTTGCCAGATGCGATGGTTCACATCTTTAATCCCAGCACTTTGGAGGCAGAGGCTGGTAGAACTCTGTGAATTTAAGAACAACCTGATCTACACAGTGAGTTCCAAGCCAGATGATGATGATGATGATGATAAACTCATGGAGTTTGGTTGTGCTCTACTGAGAGCAAAACTAAAGCACGAACATTCAATTTCTATTTTCAGCACTTTAAACTGAATGGAACTACAGGGCTTGATGGCACACACCTTTAGTCCTAGCACTCTGGACGCTGAGGCAGGCAGATATCTGTGAGTTGGAGACAAGCCTGGTCTACAAAGTGAGCTCCAGGACAGCCAGGGCTGTTACACAGAAAAACCTTGTCCCAAAGAACCAACTAAACAAACAAACAAACAAACAAACAAACAAACAAAACTAACCAACCAAAAAACCTGAACAGAACTTCAGAACCTCTTGGCAAGCCCTCTACTACTGAGATACACACACAAACCTCTTTTTCTTTTATTTTGAGATGAGGTCACAGTAACTTGCCAGGCTGTCCTGGAACTTGTTTTTTTGTTTGTTTTTCAAACACACTTTTCTTTTTTGGTTTTTCAAAACAGGGTTTATCTGTGTAGCCCTGGGTTTACTGGAATCTGTACACCAGGCTGGCCTCTAACTCACAGAGATCTGCCTGCAGCTGCCTCTTCAAGCACTGGGATTGAAGGGGTAACCACCACGCCTGGCCTGGAACTCATTTCCTAGCCCAGGCAAGGCTTGACCCTGAGATCTTCCTGCTGAGCCCACTGTGTGGCAGATGCAGCTAAGAACTTCACATCTTAACCTGCGTAAATCCAACCTAACTAATACTAACAGAGGCTCTGAAAGTTTGCCATAAATTACATGAAAAGAGCATTTCCTCAAACCAACATAGATTAAGAATACTTAGGTGAAGACAAATCAAACATATATTAGATTGAATCATACTTTACAAATAGGTGACTTTTCATTTTTATTCAATTATTATTATTATTATTTTTATGATAGATATCAATTATTATTTTTTATTCTATCTTATTTACTGTATGCCTGTGTGTCTGTGGGCACATGTGGGTGGGTGCTGGAGGAGGCCAGAAGAAGCATCAAATCCCTAGAAGCTAAAGATAGATAGTCGTAAGCCAACCACTGTGGGTGCTGGGAACCGAGCTCAGATTCCCTGGGAGGAACAGCAAGTGCTCTTACTTACTAAACTACTTCTCCAGCCCTTTGTTTCATTTTATGTTATAGATAAGATCTCACTGTGGCCCTAGCTGGGCTGGAACTCACAGAGCTCTGCCTGCCATGGCCTCCTAACAGCCAGGATGAAAGGTATGTATTACCTTACCTAGTAACTTTTAGGTTTTTTTCCCCCTGACTTTATTTACCTTTCTTTTCTTTCCTGGGCCCACTCTTCTTTGGTGTTTAATCTAGAGAATATTTTAATATTTATTTTATGCATATGTGTGTGCCTGAGTGTATGTATATGTGCTATATTTATACAGGAGCCTTTGGAGGTCAGAAGAGGCCATCATAGCCTCTGGAACTGGAGGCATGAGCAACCATGTGGATGCTGGGAACTGAACCCAGGTCCTCTTAAGAGCAGCAAGAGTTCTTACCTGCTGAGCCTCTCCAGCCCCAGCCTTTGCTATTTTTGAGAAAGAGTCTCCTTTTCTTCTCCAGTCTGGCTTTGTGCTCCACTTGCTTCAATCTCCAGTGCAAGGATTACAGGAATGAACCACCACACCTGGCCTTCAACTCTAGTGCAACAAGTGTTCTAACCACTGAGCTCTACTACCAGCCCTGTACTGGCTAATTTAAAATCTGTCTTACGTGGTACTGACAGTGAAATGGCTCAGAAGGCAAGAGATGCCTGCTGGCAAGCCTGACTACCTGAGTTCAATACTCAGCTCCTCTAAGGGGAGAATCAGCTCCTCTAAGTTATCTTCTGATCTCTGCATGTACACTGTGACAAGCCTATACACCCCCCCACTCTCCCACCCCCACCCCCACCCCCAACATACCCACACTAGATAAATAAAAATGTAGACTTTCTCACAACAACAAAACAAACAACAGTCAACAGGGTTGGCAGAAAGGATCTTCATATCACATAACTGACAAGGGTTTATGTTCCCAGTATAAGGCACTCAGAAGCTGGGCCTGGTGGGGCACAGAACAAACGAAGCTCTTCAGCTTGAGGCCAGCTTTGGCTACGTGGTGAATCCCAGGTCAGCCCGGGTTACACAAGACTGTCTGTGAGCTCCATGGGTAAGAGCAATTACCACCAAGCCTGATGACCTGAGTTTTAACCTTGGAGCCCACAAGGTGCAAAGAGAGCTCCAAACAACTTCTTCAACCATCCTGTCAGGTCCAGAAGCTCACCATGGCACCGGTGCCTGTGCACAGACATACGGACACAAATACCAATAAACAAATGCTATTTAAAAAAATTTAAATAGATGGACCAGCTCAGTTACAGAATCAAATGTTCCAGAACCAAAAAGGATCTGCAAGAGGCCCTTCCCACTTATTTATTCATTTATTTAATTATTTATCCTTCATTATATTTATAATGGGCAACTACTACAAGTAGTGGCAATGCTATAAAACTTGAGGCTTTAGAAAGACAAAAAAAAAAAAAAAAGGAAAGAAAGAAAGAGAAAAAGAAAGAGAGAGATAAAGAAAGAAAGGAAGAAAGAAAGAAAGAAAGAAAGACGAAGCAAACAGACATGTTTCTGTAACTCCTACCACTCTGAAGGCTGAGGCAGGAAGACTGACTGCTGTGGGTTTGAGACCAGCCTGGGATACATACTGAATTCAAGGCCAGCTGAGATTTAGAGTGAGACTATCTCAAAACACACAGCCTTGCTCTCTCACAAAGTATAAAGTATCTTCAATAAATGAAATTCATATAATTATCATGTTATTTAGTCGTCAAGTGAATTTAAGCAAAGTGATATAGCTAAATCTTTGAGCCAAAAAGTCTCAGAATCAGAGAGTCATCAAAGTTTTAGATTTGTAGGTCAGAGGTCAGGTTAGCGGGCAATACTATTAGCAAGAAAACTACCATGATTCTCAACATAAATGAATATACTTTCACGTCAGCGTCTAAACCATAAAAAAAGAAATGTTACCTCTCTGAAATGGGACATCCAGTTTGCAAAGGTAAGGTGGGAGCTCCTTTAAAAGATATGATTAAAAAAAATTAGCTCTCAAAACCAAGAAATTCTTTAGTGTCTTACATTATGACATAAAGACTTTGTTCTTTAAAGAAGAGAAAGACATAGCATCCATTTAAACCCAACATCCTTTAGCATTTCCAGGGGCAAATTCATGATATAATTACTTACGACCACCTATAAGAAATCTGCACTACTTAAATGTATATACATTTTTAAAGTTTTTGCCTCCTCATTTTTAAAAAGATTTGTTCTTATTTTTAATTATGTGTAGGTGTGTGTGTGAGTGCATATGGGAGAGTGCAGGTGGCCTTGAAGATAAGAAATGTTGCAAGTCCCAGAACTGGTTAGCCTGGGGGCTGGGAAGTGAACTCAGACCTTCTGCAAGAGCAGTCCGTGTTCTTAACCGCCGAGCCATCTCTCCAGGGCCTACATTTGTACTATTATTCTTTTATTTTGTTTTTGTTGTTGTAGTTTCTGAGACAGGGTTTCTCTGTTGCCCTAGCTGTCCTGTAACTTGCTCTGTAGACCACGCTGCCCTCAAGCTCACAGAGATGTGCCCGCCTCTGCCTCCCAAGTGTTAGGATTAAAGGTGTGTACCACCAGGCCAAGTACAGGCACAATTTCTGAGTGCTGAAATTATAGGCATTTGCCCTCACATCCGTCACATTAAAGTATGTGAAACACAACATACTTAACCTCTGTTGAGTGTAAAACTGTAGAAAACCAACAGAGGGTAGCATGTTAATGTCAGTTTTCCTCGGGTGACAAAAGCGGACACTATTTCTTTCTTCCAATGCTGCTATGAACATAGATTATTTGTTCACGTTGTTTTAAATTACATTTAGCATGTGTGTGAGAGTATGAATGTACCACTGTGCATTCACACAATTCAGGGGATACAACGCAGAAGTCAGTTTTCTCCTTGTACCAAACAGATCTCAGGGATACAACTCAAGATTGTCAGGCTTGGCCTCAAATGCTTTCATCCACTGAGCTATCTTACTAGCCCACAATTTTTTTTTTCCATATGACCAGCTTTTGAAAATTGTGTGTGCGTGTGTGTGTGCGCGCGTGAGCATGGATGCCGTGTGTGCCACAGTGCACACGAGATCAGAAGAGAACTTCTGGGAACCAGGTTTTTCCTGCTACCTTGTCTTGAAGTAGGGTACCCTTGGTATTCCTGTTGCCGGTGTGCTCCCGGCTAGCTGGCACCTGATTTTTGTTGTTGTTGTTTTTTCCTTTCTCCATTTTCCATCTCGGGGGAGGAGTGTTGGCATCACAAATGCATGGTACTTCATCTACTTTTTTCTTTCCTTTCATCTGGCTTCTTCTTTATTAAGTGATTTATTTATTTTTATCCTATGTGCATTGGTGTTTTGCCTGCATGTATGCCTGTGCAAAGGTGTTGGATCCACCGGAACTGGAGTTGCAGATAATTGTGAGCTGCCATGTTGAGTGCTGGGAATTGAATTCGGGTTTTCTAGAAGAGCAGCCAGTGCTTTTAACTGCTGAACCATCTCTCATCTGGCTTCTTGACCTGGGCCCTGGAGATCAAACCCACGGTGTCAGCCTTTCCTGGTAATCACTTTTATCTGCTAAGCCATCTTGCTGGCCCTCGAACAGACCTCTAAATGATATTTTCCTACACTGGAAGGCTAAATAAAACTAATTTCTATATTAAACATGATTCAAACGGCAATTTGAATTGTAAGGTAATTTTCCATTTGGTGATGTATAATTTTATCAAAATGTTTGCAGAAGTGATTTTGGGGTTGGGGGTGTAACCCAGTTGGGAGAGGGCTTGCCTGGAGGCATGAGGCCCTGGGTTCTACCTTCAGCACCTGTGTAAACTGGCAGGGAGGTGTGAACCTACAGCCCTAGCATTTGAGAAGTGAAAGCAGCATTATCAGAAGTCCAGGACCATCCTCGGTTATATATGGAGTTCATGGCCAGCCTGGGCTACATGGGACTCTGTCTAAACAAAAAGATGACGCACAGCCCCTCAGACACATTTGAACTATATAAATTCCTCATGGATGCCATGATACTTTAACCTTTCTTCCTGTTACATTTATTTTAATCAGTCATTCTTAGGAGTTTTGTTGTTATTGTTTGAGTGTTTGGATTTTGTTCACTCCCCCCCCCCCATTTTATAAGTATTTTGCCTGCATGTATATCTGTGTACCACTTACATGCCTGTTACCTTCAGAGGCCAGAAGAGTGTGCTGGATCCCCTGAAAGTGGAGTTACTGACAGTTCTGAGCTACCACGTGGGTGCTGGTAATGGGGCTGGGGTCCTCAGGAAGAGCAGCCAGTGCTCTCCACACAGAGCCATCTCTCCAGCCCCTATGTGTTTGCTGTTTGTTTGAGACAGGAGCCCAGACTGGCTTCAAGTCTTTGACAAGCCTTCTGCTTCCCAAGCACTGGTATTGTATCTGTGAGCTGCTCCACCAGCTTAACCATCATTGTTTTCAAAAGTTACTTGTGCAAGTGATATTTAGCTCTTTTCAGATTTACATTACCCTTAAGCGTAACAACACTAGTTTATTTTTACTTACACAGTATTTGAGATCAGAGACATTTACACTGACCCCAGTTGACCTCTTCAGGTTTGCATCATGTGACACTACAACTTGCTCATCTTTTGTGATGTGGCAGTCCAGTTCTAACATATCAGTTCCAATGGCAACTGCACTGAAGACATAAAAGAAAATGGCACTTTGAAACCCAGTAAACATTTACTTTACATGCACCCAAGTGGAAAACTCTTATTTTAAAGTCCAAAGTATCCCACAATGCTGAAATAGCTCAACCACATTTATCATCATTCATCAAAGTGACATTGTGATCTTATAATAAGTTATTAAAATGTTGTGACTTATGATAAGTGAATCATGTTGTTTCTTCCATGGCAGCTATGGTTAATCCTGACATTTCAATACAATGGAAAAAAATACTTGACCAGAAATTTAGAGATTTAGATGGCAGTTCCTGATACATTAGTATAACTTAGGGCAGTCTGACTTTCCTCTGTGGCCTGTATTTCTATTCCTATAAAATGAAAGTATCAAGAATTAAGATAAAGATGGCTCCATCTATCATTTTGATTCAACATACTATTAAGGTGATCTTGTGGTATATGCACTTGAGAGGAGGCAGAAAGATTACAGAATGAAAAATAAAACTCTGACAATGGATTCCAAAGAAAGGGAGACCTAGGAAATGACAATGAAGGAACAGAATAACCAAGCAAACTGTGAATGTCTGTAATCCCAGCACTCAGGAGCTGTAGCAGGGTAAGAAGTTCAAGGTCATCCTCACCTATAGGGTAAAGTTCAAGACCAGCTTAGGATACATAATATCCTATCTAAAAGCAAAATAAAACCAGAAAATAAAAAGAGAAAGGAAGAAAAAGGAATGAATTTTGAGAATAATATATGAAAAGAAATTTGTCAAAGACGTAGAAAAGATAACGAAAATAAGTAAAAATCCTAGAGATGAAATGCAATCACTAAACTCAAGAGAACAGAAAGCTTCAGAGCATCATCAGACTGAAGAATCTTAGACGTAGGACATTTCACTATTAAGGGTTTACAAACCTAAGTGTATAAGCAGATGCAAAACTCCCTAAGGGAAGGCTATCTATCTATCGTGTGTCACACCTGAGCTCATTTGAAGCCGAGGCAGGAGTGCCTCCAGTTTCAGTCCAACCTAGAATAAATAGTGAGTCCTAGAGCAGCCCAGGTACACTGTGAGATGCGGGGTACAGTTAAGTGAACAGACTGTATCTGGCTTGGGTGATGCACAGCACACCCTACTCTTCTAACTTCTTTGCCTGAAAATACAACACACACACAGATAACATACCCAGCATCTTCCAATGCCTGCTTGCACTGGGCTCCATGTACGTGTTCTGTAAATAAGTAAATAAGTTTCTCTTCCCCTTAATGACCATAAAACTTGGGCAGTCCATGACACATCATGGTCAAGGGAGATTCTGCCTGAATTTGTTTTGAGCGCACAATAAGGAAAAACTGGGTCCACGAGTGAATTTTTAGGGAGAATCCTATATTTATCGTCTTCTGTCTATGCATAATTGGGTGTGTATATTATTAAAAGCAGATGCTTTAGTCAGAGAGGGTAGTGCGCACCTTTAGTCTCAGAAGTCCACTCAGGAGGGTCTCTGAGCTCAAGGCCAGCCTGGTCTACATAGTGAGCTCCAGGACAGCCAGGGCTACAGAGAGAGACCCTGTCTCAAAAGAGACAGAGGAGAGGGAGGAAGGGAGAGACAGAAACAGACAGACAGAGGCATAAGGACACACACACACAGATGCTGAGCACAAAGGTGCACATGTGTCATCCCAGCACTTGGGAGGTGAGGAAAGGAGGAGTGCAAGGCCAATTTCAGCCACATGGCAAGTTGAGGGTCAATCTTGGTTATATGAGACCTTGCCACAAAAAAAAAAAAAAAAAAAAAAAAAAATCAGAAAGAAAAAATGTGAAAAAAAAAAAAAAAGAAACAACAACAACAACGCCACTGAACAATGCACCAAACTTCCAAGGGCTAAGGAGACGGCTCAGCAGGTAAGAACATCTACTCCTTGTGCAGATGACCCAAGTTTGGTTCCCGGCACATGAGTGCAGCTGAGAGTGCAGAAGAGGATGCTGGAGGCCCTGGAGCTGGAGGCAGGCAGCTCTGAGGGTAGTCTGCAAAAGCAGTACTGTTAACTCTTAAGGCATTTCTCAAACTCTCTTGCACTGTGTGCAAGAGTGTCTCTGTATATCCAGTTGTTAATTCTATACAGGCAGAGAGATAAGGCCCACCACCGGCCTCATATTTTGTAGATACATATCTCCCTTCACCTGCCTAAGGCAATCTAGAACTGCCTTTGATTGGCTCTAATAAAAAGCTGATGGCCAAGGACTGTGCAGAAGGGGAAGGTGGACCTTCTGTACAGAGAGAGGATCTGTGGGGGTAGAATTCAGATGTAGCAGTGTAAAAGGAACACCCTCCTGGAGCTGCAGAGCTGCAGTGCGACTAAGAAGCTGAAGCCCCAAACTTCTGAACAGGTGATGTGTTGACAGTAAGAGAGAAATAAATATTTAGTTTGAAAACAATAAAGTGAGCTGAGAACAGTGGTGAATGCCTGTAATCCCAGCACTCCGGGAGACAGAGGCAGGTGGATCTCTGTGAGTTTGAGACCAGCCTGGTCTACAAAGCTAGTCCAGGACAGCCAAGGCTACACAGCGAAACCCTGTCTTGGAGATAAAAAATAATAATAATAAAGTGGAGTCTCCAAAGGAAGAAGAGAGTGACACAGATTAAAGAGAAAATATTTTCTGTGTTGAAAAATTGGAGCCAGGCATGGTGGTACATGCCTTTGATCCCAACACTTGGCAGGCAGAAGCAGGTGGAGCTCTGTGAGTTTTAAGGCCAACCTGGTCTACGAAGTGAGTCTAGGACAACCAGGACTACACAAAGGAACCTTGTCTCTGGGGGAAAAAAAAAAAAAAAAAAAGGAAAACACAATACCAGAGGGCACTTGGATCCCATATAATTTTGTTTTAATTATCAGCATAGAAATAATTATATGTTCAGTAATGGTTGCAATTTTCTATGTCCTCTTTTAGAAAGAGCAGAATATAGCAGATTTAGATAAGGAGAGGGCTAAGTGATGGAAAGCCAGAATAAAAGTGGTCAAACAGAAATCAGAGGGCTCTTTGGATCAAAATGAAGAATTTTCAGAAGAATCCAACCTTATAACAAAATTACAAGAATGGCAACCCATGGAAATGCTAGATCTAAAAAAATTTAGAGAGGCTTCCGCTACGAAACAACAAAATCAAACTAGGATCAGTTGCTAGATAAAGAACAAGATGCTGAGTTAAGAATACAGATTCAACAGGGAACAGGACAAGAGTCTGCAACAGAGGGCCTCTGAAAGGCTCTACCCTGCAGGGTATCAAAGCAGATGCTGAGACTTATGGCCAACCTTTGGGCAGAGTGCAGGGAATCTTATGAAAGAAGTGGGAGGACAGGAGCTCCACAAGGAGAGCAACAAAACCAAAAAATCTGAGCACAGGGGTCTTTTCTGAGACTGACACTCCAAACAAGGACCATTCATGGAGATAACCCAGAACCCCTGCACAGACGTAGCCCATGACAGTTCAGTGTCCAAATGGGTTCCATAGTAATGGGAACAGGGACTGTCTCTGACATGAACTGATTGGCCTGCTCTTTGATCACCTCCTCCTGAGGTGGGGAGCAGCCTTACCAGGCCACAGAGGAAGACAATGCAGCCACTCCTGATGACAGCTGATAGACTAAGATCAGAAGGAAGGAGAGGAAGACCTCCCCTATCAGTGGACTTGGGGAGGGGCATGCGTGGAGAAGGGGGAGGGAGGGTGAGACTGGGAAGGGAGGAAGGAGGGGTTTATGGGGGGATACAGAGTTAATAAAGTGTAATTAATAAAAATTAAAATTAAAATTAAAAAAGAAAAAATTTCAAAATAAAAAAAAAGAATACATAATTCTATTTGACGATGCTATCTTAGAGCAATGTCATACAATAGCTTAAGTGTTTCATTTTACAAAGTTTGGAAAACTAAGATATGTACATGTGTTAACACATTATACAACTGGTAACTGTTTAGGATGTCAGTGGGCTTCTGTCTTGTGCTCTAGAAAGGCTGATTCTGCAATTACACATTTGTTAGAAGCGATGGTTGTCTTAAAGGCCTTTGCAGGTTGAAGCTGTTGATCCTCCAGCATATGTGTCCAACAGAGTGCCAGTTTTTAGGCACTGTGGCGTAAAACACGTTACAGGTGTGTCTACAATCCTGCTGTCAAACAAGTTTAACCACACTTTAAAGGAAATGCTCACAAAGCAGAAGGGGATGTGTGATCTCTGAGACATAGATTGCATGATGTTTTACTGACTTTAAATTTTTTAAATGTCGATGAGACAGGCAGGAAGCACAGCTGCAGAAAACCACTGGATTTTAGAGAGGACTGTAGAATTTAATCGGCCTGTACGTTATAAGGAAGTTCATCAAGATTAGATTTGGCCAGGAAAGACCGACTGAAAATTTTGGCTGCAGAAATGAAGAGACCCAGAAGAACAAGACAGGTGATGTGGATGCCAGCACCTCTGCACGTCTGCCTCTGGAAGCACCCCCATTCTACTCCAACGTAGATGACCTCCACCTAGAGTTTACTTCAATTGTGGCAAAGATGGTCACTGGGCAAAAAACTGCCCGTACGGTCAACTGCTGACAGCTGCTGTCTAAAGTGTGGGCAAACAGGGTTCTGGGAAGTTGACTGACTAACTAAGGTAATCTAGAGCTTTAATAAACATCTGATGGCCAAATGACTGGGTAGAAGAGAAAGGTGAAACTTTAGTACAGAGAGAAGGTCTCTGGGAAAAGAATTCAGACGCAGAAGCTTCACCAGCTTGACATGGGAAGGTACAGACTTACCAGTTGCTGAGAAAAAGGAAAAGAACTACGCAAATGGCAGGGTGTGGACTAGAACAGTCGAGACGAGCTAGCCGATAGTCTGCCCAGCTAAGGCCTACGCTTTTAAATATTAATCAGTCTCGGTGTCTTTATTTAAATTACAAACTCCTAACTAAAAACAACAACAACAAAAATAAACAAACAAAACCAAAAACCTTCCAGAGATCCTGTTAAGAAATTGATTTGGGCCAGACACGGTGGTGCATGCCTATAATCCCAGCACGCAGGGAGGCAGAGGCAGGAGGATCTCTGTGAGTACATGGTTAGCCTGGTCTATAAAATGAGTCCAGGACAGCCAAGGCTACATAGAGAAACCCTGTTTCGAAAAAACAAAAAAAGGATTGATTTGAATTTCAGTAGTTCAACACAACGCTCCAACTGTATTATTATTCTCATTGTACAGATTTGACAATTAGTATTGAAGTAATTAGATATTTCAAAAATACATCCTAAGTCAGGTGTGCTTAAATTAGTAGCAATGTATTAATAAGCATATGCACATGACACAGTTTGTTTGTAAAAAAGAGTCTATCATGAGAAGGTGAGTGTGGTGACAGATGCCCTGTAAATCTCAGAAATGTGGGAGGTTGGGAAGAGGTAGAGTTCAAGGCTAACCTGGGCCAGTGAATGAAATCTAGCCTCAAAAAAGAGGCAAGCAGCTGGGCACGGTAGTGCATGCCTTTAATCTCAGCAATAAAGTGGGAGGCAGAGTGAGGGGAATCTCTGAAGTTGAGCTAGTCTGCTCTAACAAGAGTGAGTTCCAGGAGAAGCAGGAGTGCACAGAGAAACCTGGTCTCCAAAACCCAAATAAATAAATAGAAAGAAACAAGCAGAAGACTGACAAGATGACTCAGTGAGTTAGGCAGCCACATGAGGAAAGGGCAGAAATTTACTCCTGCCAATCTCTATACAGGACACACACACACACACAAGGAAAACTGTGAGAGTTAGGGCGTTGACTTAATTATTTTGACTATATGCCAAATCATACTTCCAGGTATTGCTAACATAACTTGCTTCTTTCTCCTACCATTCAATAAGTACCTCAGGGACTACTACATTGCCCTCTGAGTTATCTACCTATGTGGCCCAGTTTAATAACCTAGTTTTATTAGCTTTTAAGGATCAGGTTTTGCAGGGTGTGTTGGTACAGGCCTGTAATCTTAGCACTGGGGAGGTGGAGGCAGGAGAATCACTTTAGAGTTATTCTTGGACACATACTCCATTCAAGGGAAGCCTAGTCTATGAGAACCCGTCTCAAAAACCAAGACAGCAGATTTTATATACCCACGGACTTAGTTAACTTGGCACATGCATACACGCAACACAATTCTTCAGTTTTAGGTTCTGTGCTCACTACAAAGGAGCGGTGTCTCCTCTGCCAGCCTTTTGCTAACACCCTGCCCTGTTCTTGGGGTGTGCTGCTCCAAACCTATTTCAGTGTCCAACCGGTGAGTGTCAGAGCCTAAGCAAGATGTCAGAGAGAGAGAAACAGAAAGAAAAAAATACCCTGTTCTGCCATATTCACAGCCTACAGGAGATGGTATTTGTGAAAGTATTTTATCAGCCAGCCATGTGGAAAGATATTTCATGAATTGTGATTTTTGTGCAGGCTGTATTTTAAATATTTGTTGAGACACATTGTTTAAAGATTTATTTATTTATACATTTGAGCACTCTATTTGCATGTACACCTGCATGACAGAAGAGAGTATCGGATCCCATCATAGAAGATTATGAGCCACCGTGTGGGTGCTGGGAACTGAACTCATGACCTCTGGAAGAGCAGCCAGTGCTCTTAACCTCTGAGCCATCTCTCCAGCTCCTGAGACACCATTTCTATTTCTCAGAGTTAAAGCAGAGATTCCCCTTCTGTGGAAACTCAGGAGCTGTGTACAAAGCCACAGGGGCAGCACTTAGCTAAAGCTCACCACTGACTGTGGAACAGAGCTCAGGCAGAGAGAGGCAAAATGGTGCCCATCTGAATGACACTTTTTGGAAAGTTTGGGTACAGAGGAATTTCCTATATTTGGCCATACCCCAGGCTGAAAGGCTGTCACTCGAGCTCCTGGCTCCCCAAACTCTGGCAGCAGAGTGCCAAACTGAGGACCAAGTTCCTCTTGAAGTCACTCCTATCATTCTCACCGTACAGCTCTGGCTGTCTGGGAGTCACGTGACCACCTGCCTCTGCCTCCCCAGTGCTAGGAAGAAAGGTGGGAGCCACCCCTCCCAGAAGAAAAATAATCTTTAAGATGTCACTGAAGGGCGAAAAGCAGGAACTTAGATCAAAATCTGCTGGGATGTGGGAGCACCTTGTCCACAGAGTGCACACACAGCACGCAGGAAACTCTGGCTTCGATCTACAGCACAACAGACACACAAAACCTCTTAATTAGTACTAACTACATACAAAATGTTTCCAAACTTGCCTACAAGTGTGAGACCACCCTGGTCAACAGATATGGCCACCCCATCTTAAAAATGTTTCAAAATCCTATCAGAAAATTGTTTCTCCCTAAGTATGAATAGGTAATGTCTTCCTTTCAGTGACCTAGCTTCATGCGCCGTTTTGTTATTCAGAGAGAGGAAAACAGGCTGCTGGTGATCATGGGCTCTAAAACAAAGAACAAGGGCACCGACCAGTGCCTTCTGCAGCTTCTACCACCACCGCAGAGCCTTGAAAGGGCCTCAGGGTGAAATATGAATCCATTATAAATAGAAACAATTTAACCCATCTTATTAAAAAATAACATCAGCACACAAGAGGATCCCAAGATGAACCCTGATTGTAGGTTCCTGCTGAACAGAAACTACAGGGAACAAAGACATACAACCCTACTTATGACCGGCAGCCAATGTAACAGCTGTCTCGTTCGCTCTTTCCGCACTGGACCAATTAGCATTACTCACAGTCTGTCCCTTGTCCCAGTTGTCTGCTTCCAGCTCTGGAAATCGAGTCTCTCTGGACTATTCAAAACTTGGACTACTTTTACAAATTATTCAGAAGCCAAACACTCAAGCCACAAAAAAGGCATTTTATAGAAATAGCAATCGCGAGTGAGTGGCATTTGCACACTACGTCACTCTGTGAGTCACTCCCGTGGCAGGCTGTAAACAGAGAGGGCTGCTCTATGTACTCACTGATAGAAGGCGGCCATCGTGTTCTCCAGGTGTTCTCCGGCACCTGTGGAAACACGGAGTTTAAATTCCACTTACTTGTCACTTTGAACATTTTATTTCCCTAGAAATTAGAATGACCCTTTATTTTTGGTGGGGTGTGTGTGTGTGTGTGTGTGTGTGTGTGTGTGTGATGTGGGTCAAATCCTTTTGAAGTCAACAAATACATAAGGGATTTGAGACGATGGTTCCTTCACTGTCCATGGCTGTCACAGACAGTCCTCTGGAGCCCTTTTTTGAGCCTGGAGATATAGCTCAGTTGGTAGAGTGCCTAACTTGTACAAAGCCCCAGATTCCAGCTCCAGTACTTTGTGGCAATAGACCAGGCATGGGAGCCCATGTCTATAATCCCAGCACCTGGAGGGCAAAGGCAGGCCCAGGAGTTTGGAGGCATCAGTCTGTAATTCCAGCACTCTGGGAGGCAGAGGCCAGCAGATCTCAGTGAGTTTGAGGCCAGCCTGGTCTACAAAGAGAGTCCAGGACAGCCACGGCTACACAGAGAAACCCTGTCTAGAAAAACCAAAAAATAAAACAAAACAAAAAACAACCCCCCCCCAAAAAAAACAAAACCAAAAAACAAGCAAGCAAACAAACAAAAGATAGCCCTGTTTAAAAGAGCAGCTGCTTAATTCGGTTGTCCTTTCAGCCCACAATTCTTTAATCTCCACCTGAATTATGAGCAGACTTATAACAACTTCAAAGCTGTCCCTCTGAGATTTTTGATGTCTAATTTTCAAAGCAGTTTATTTCAGGATCCATTTTAGGATTAAATAGCTTTCAGTTGCTGGCATGCTAGCTAACGCCTGTCAGCTTTATAGTATAAGAAACTATAAAGACCACACAGGATCAAGATGGAGGCTGAGAGGTGTTATTCGGAGCCCGTGTATCCCAGGTACTGCGTGATATTCATCCACCATGACTGCAAGGTGTTCAGATTCTGTACATCCAACTGTCATAAAAAACTCTCTTCTCAAGGTTGGTGGCCTTCCAGAGAGCAGCTCCTAAGAGCTCACAGTGGACAGCTCACTTGAAAAATGCAGAAAGGAGCCTGTCAAATGCGAGGGAGAGCTGCAGAAGAAAGCTACTGATGCAGTAAAGACCTGAAGAGACCAAACAGAAATGGCAAGATGAATTTATATTGAACAGGTTGAAGAAAAAGTGAGAGCCACAGGAAGTTCAGGACATCAAACTCAGCAAATACCAGGTCTAGCAATGTTAACAGCCACAAGGCCCAGAAAGCCAACCATGCCAGAGTTGGATTTCTATTACATTGTCCTTTCAATTTTCAGGTTGTTTTTTTTTTTCCTTGTTCTTAAAGACTGGTTCTCGTGTCGTTTGGGCTGGCCTCAATCTCACGTGAAACAGAGGACGTACTTAAGTCCTGATCTCCTGCCTCCACCTTCAAGTGCTGGGGGTCACAGCACACTTGGTAATTTTCAGCGGTGGCGTTTGCAAGCACACGCACACACACACACACACACACACACACACACACACACACACACACGTTTGTGTGTCTGTAAGGGAGGCTGTATGCCACAGTTGTCAGACGACTTCAGGTCTGCCTTCTACTGTGTTGGACAAGAGTCTGTTGCTTTCCCAGTGCTGGTGGCAGCCTGGCTAGCCCTCGCGCACCTATCTCTGACTCTTGTCTCCTCCGAGCAGCTCTGGAATCACAGGTGCACCACATACCTCTGCGTCTTACAGGGTCTGGGGATTCAGACTCACATTCTTACAGCCGCCCAGCAAGCATGTCTACCCCTGGAGCCACCTCTCCAGCCCCAATTTTCAGGTTTGGGGAAGGTTTTTTGTTGTTTTGTTATTTAGTTTGACATGGGGTTTTAACCAGGGATGGTAGTGCACACCTTTAATTCCAGCTCTCAACAGACAGAGGCAGGCAGATCTCTTGTGAGTTTGAGGCCAGCCTGGTCTACAAAGAGAGTTCCAGGACAGCCAGGGTTACACAGGAAAACTCTGTCTCAAAAGAGAGAGACAGAGACAGACTGAGAGAGAAAGAGGTTTTACTCTATAGTCCAGGCTAGCCTGAATCCCACGAAGCAGCCTGGACTGGCCCTCAAATTCTTAGCAACCCACCTGCCTACCTGCCTCAGCATGCATGAACTACCATACCCGCATGAATAAGGAAATTTGTAGGTGATACTGACTTTTAAAAACTTTGAGTACATGATGGTGAAGAATACCAAGACTCGCAGCCACTTCTGATGAGACCTAATTGACTAGGATCAGAAGGAAGGAAAAGAAGTCCTCCCCTATCAGTGGACTTGGGAGGGGCATGCATGCAGAGGGTGGAGGAAGGGAGGGATTGGGACGGGAGGAGGGAGAGAACCACAGGGGGGATACAAAGTGAATAAAGTGTAATTAATAAAAAAAAAATGAATACCAAGACTACAATACAATTTTGTACATGGTTTTGATTCATGCTATATAGGCAATAGAAATTTTAGCCACTGGTGCTTTTTTAAAAAACATTTTTTTAATTTTTTAAATTTTATTTTTATTAATTACAGATTATTCACTTTGTATCCCAGCTGTAGCCCCCTCCCCACCCCCTCCCAATCCCACCTCCCCCTTCTTCAGCTATGCTCCTCCCCCAGTCCACTGATAGGGGAGGTTCCATCTGACTCTAGTCTATCAGATCTCATCAGGAGTGGCTGTGTTATCTTCCTCTGTGGACTGGTAAGGCTGCTCCCCCCTCAGGTGGAGGTGATCAAAGAGCCAGCCCCTGAGTACATGTCAGAGACAGCCCCTGTTCCCATTACTAGGGTTCCCCTCCACTGGTGCTTTTTGTGTGGGAAGGGAGACACCAGGGATTGAACCTAAGACCTCAAATATGCAAGGTACGCACAATACCATCCTCAGTGCTTTGCACTGCTGGTGAAGAGATACCCAGTAAAAAGGTAAAGGATGTTATATGAACATAGTTTTGACCTTACACACTGATAAGATTATAGGGACCTCCAGAAGTCAGAGACCACACTTTGACGATGCCAGAAGAATGAGTCAGGATTACTTTTGGGGACACAGGGTGACAAAACTGGGAAAGCAAACAAGGGCCTTTTTGATAGATTCTCTATGTAGCCCAGGCTGGCCTCAAATTCTCAATCCTCCTGTCTCCTTTGTAATGGAATTAAAGATACACTGCCACCGATCAGCTAACAGGGATTTATGACGTTCTAGAAATGTTCTACTAAAAAAACTCTTTTTTTTTTTTTATTACTTTTAGGGCCAGGAATGGTGGCACACTCCTGTAATCCCAGCGCTCAGGAGACAGAAACACAGTGTTTGAGAACAGCCTGGTCTACATGGTGAGTTCCAGGATAATTTGGCTACATAGAGAAACCCTGTCTCATAAATACTAAGAACAATTACTCAATTAAGATTAAAACTTATTACATCATTTAATGTGTGGGTGTGTGCACTTTTTCCTATAAAAGTTCGGGTTCCAGGAATTGAATCCAAGTGGTCAGAGTTGGCAACTGGTGCCTTTACCTACTGAACCATTGTGCCAGCTAATATTAGGCCCAGCAAGAGCCTAAATATAAGAAGGTATGAAGAGAACTCAGGAAACTAATCATCTATCAATGCAAAATCGCAAGAGGTTCATTCTGACCATTGCACAATGTGGTCACCCCTGCTGGACAGCAAGGAGTGGCACTGGGAGACAAAGACCTTAGGTTTTTAAAAGACACAAGGCGGGAATCTCCTGGGGTTGCTATCTTGGCGATTCGGGATTGGATGAGGTGTTTAACTTTTGGTTAGTTCTGGTCACCCTTAGGTCCGGTCAGCCCTGTCGTAATATCTGATCTTCAAGTCAGTTTGAAATTTCCTGCCATATGAGATATAGCTACAGTTAAAGGTGGGAGAGTGATTAACTCATCCTGTGTCTGTTCTGAGGAGTGGGGGTTTACAGGCTTTGGATCAAAGGTCAGGAGCTATGCAGGAGAAGGATTGGGGTCATTTGGCCCAGCTTCCAAACAAAGCTCATCTCGGGCGCAGCCGGTGATTTATTCTCCATTTAGTAGGGATCTCTGCTTGTTTTCTTCCTTATCTCTGCCCTCACAGATGGCTCATGTCAGGAACTTTTACATTCCTCGGTTCTCTGGAGAAGCACTAAGAGGCTTTAATTAACATGGGCTTAAAACTTGAAAATATAATTTATAAGGCAATTAAAAGAAACATAGGTTACAAAATTAGTCTGATTCTTTCACCAGCCATCTAGAAATGTCCTGTATCCTGATCTGACAGCTATGTGGGTATAAGCATATAGGGGAAAGGATGCTTTCATTATAGAGGAATTGATGAATTTGGAGGAGACTATCTTAAATGCAATAAACCAGTCACAGACTGACAAGCCCAAATACCACATAATCTTCCTTGTATGTAAAAGGCAAATTCAGCCAGGTGTGGTGGCATATGCTTTGAATCCCAGAAATCCTCCTGCCTCTGTCTCCTGTGCTGGTATTACGGCTGTGTACACCACACCAACTTTAACTTGTCTCTATTTTTTGAGATAGGGTCTCATAATGCAGCCCTGGCTGGCCTGGAACTCAGTATGTCAACCAGGCCGGATTTAAGTGAATAGACCTGCCTCCTCTGCCTCCCAGAGTGCCGGGATTAAAGGCGTGTACCACCAAACCCAGGTTGTCAGTCTTGTTGCACAAGGTTTCCATGTAATCCAGACTACTCTCAAACTATATAACCAAAGATGATCTGGACTCCACGTCTTCTTTCTTGCTTTCACCCACTGAGCTCTGGAACCACAGGCACATGCCACTGCAAGTGCTTTCTTATTTGCTTTTTTATTTATTCATTTAATTTTTATTTTAGACAGGGTCTCTCTACATAGCCCTGGCTGGCCTGGAATTTATAGAAGTCTGCCTGCCTCTGCCTCCTGGGTACCAAGATCAAAGGCGTGCAACCACTACTGCCTGGTGAGTGCTGAAGATTTAATTTTTTTTTCTTTAAGATCTTGAGACAGTGTCTCAGGTATCTCAAACTGAAGCTAAGGAGGATCTTGATCTTCTTCCTTTTTAAAGACAGGCTCTTATACATTCCTGGATGGCCTCTAACTCACAGAGATCTTCTTGCCCCTGCCTTCCAAGTGGTAAGATTAAAACCATATTACCTGATTAAATTGCGTAGCTATCACACTGGATAGGTGGTCAGGAAGCCTGGAGCTGTGGGTCGGGGTGCTGAGTTTGTCTAGCATCCAGGGGCCCCTGCGCAGACAGGACACTCAGCATTGTTCCCATTTCATTAAAGTGCTCACAACCATCCTGTGAGGTAATTGATTTCCCTAAAGATTTTAATGGCTAGTTCAGGAGTTGGTGTAATCCCAGCTTCAGAGAGCCAAGGGGGGGGCTGTGAGTTTGAGGCCAGGCTGACCACTACATAGTGAGATCCCATCTCCAAAACAAAACAACCATCACCCCAAACAAAACATTAGCAAGAGCCACAAAAACAGTGTTTCTGAGCCTGTCTTTCTACCATGAGCTATGCTGCAGATTTTTATGTTGCCATGCTGACATTCAGACTCTTTTCAGTTTTATAGTAAACAACGTCCATATTCTCCTGTTTGCTGTAGAGCTAGGAGGCCAAGTGCACAAGGACTAATCGTGAACATCACTGAGACTCATATGGTAAGTTCTGCAGGGCAACTGAGGGACTAATTAAGAAACACAGTGTTCCTCTCCAAGGAATTATTTGTGGTAGGCTTTCCCTCGAGAACTTGCTAGAATTCACTTTCTCTCAAATAATTATCATGTGACTCACAAAAACAGGCTAATTAATTTTTTTTGTTGTTGTTTCTCCCAATAAGTAACTGCAGTTTCCAGATCTACAAATGAAACAAATCTACATACAAACAAAACATTATTTTCTGTGTTTTCACGACAGGGTCTTGTTCATTCCAGGCTAGCTCCAAACTCACTATGTAACTGAGGATGACTCACTATGATGTCTTCGGGCTGGAGAGATGGCTCAGAGGTTAAGAGCATTGGCTCTTCTTCCAAAGGTCCTGAGTTCAATTTCCAGCAACCACATGGTGGCTCACAACCATCTGTAGTGGGATATGGTGCCCTCTTCCGGCATGCAGGCATACATGCAGGCAGAATACTATATATATAATAAATAAATCTAAAAAAAAAAAACAAAAAACAAAAAACAAAAACAAAACAACTATGATGTCTTCACGTTTCAGAGCTGGAATTACAGCATGTGCCATCACAGCTAGCTTACATGGATCCAGGGATGGAACTGGGGGCTTCATGCATTCTAGGCAAACACCATTTCCTCAGCTCCTCAAAGTCTTTATTACACATTATTTATCTAATGTAAGTGGGTGTGAGTACACATGCCAGTGTGCACACAGGGCTCAGAAGACAACTGTGATAAAGGACACTGCCAAAAGCAACACAAAGAGGAAAGGGCTCCTTTCATTTTACACCTACAGGTCATAGTCCATTGCTGAAGGAGGCCAGGGTAGGAACTCAGGCGGGCAGGAACCTGGAGGAAGAAACTGGAGCAGAGGCCACGAAGGAACACTGCTTACTGACTTGTTCCTCATAGCTTTCTCAGCCTGCTTTCTCACACCAGCTCGGACCACTCACGAGGGACTGGATCCTCCCATATCAACCACTAGTCAGGAAAACAGACTTGCCTACAGGCCATCTGACATGGTGGCCTGACATGGTAGGGCATGCCTTTGATCCCAGAACTTGAGAAGCAGAGAGCGGCCTGGTCCACAGAGTTGGGCTCCAAGATACCCAGGGCTACACAGAGAAACCCTGTTTCTCAGATACATGTCTAGCTTTTTGTCAACGTGACAAAAAACAAAACAACAACAAAAAAAACAACCAACCATATACCATGTGAGTCCCAGGGATCAAATTCTGTTGTCAGGCTTGGCAGTTGACACCTTTACCTACCCAGCCATCTAGCCAGCACTATTATCGATTTATTGAGACAGAGTCTGATGGACCACATAAGACATCTTCCAGCTCATTATGTAGGCAAGGATGACCTTGGAGTCCTGATATTCCTGCCTACAGCTCGCATGTGTTTTTGGGTTTTAGCCATCTTACTGTATAGTGCAGGCTGGCTTCAAACTTATAATCTTCCTAGCTCAGCCTCCACAGTTTTAGGATGACCACACTGTTAGATTGTATGTGTATGTGTGGGAGTTTATATGCAGAGGAAAACCTTGGTGTTATTTCTTAAGTGCTAACACTTTTTTTTTTTTTTTTTTTTTTTTTGAGACAGAATATCTCACCGGCCTTAAACTCACCACACAGACTATGCTGGCTGGCCAGAGCCCCAGGGATCTGTCTGTCTCCACCTCAGGTTGTCTGGCCTGGCAGCAGGTGTCTCTGCCCATCTCTCAGCCCGTGATCTAGATCTAAATGCTATGAAGGAAAGCAGTAGTGGTCCAGCTCCTTCTAGAATCTTTCAGATGCTTTTGCATATGAATCAATGTTTCTTTTCCTGTAGTTATTATCTGACCATCATTAGACTATCATTAACATCCTCATATATATGTATATGGGGACATACAATGGGCTAGTGTGTTGTTTAGAAAAGCCACGAGAAAATATGACAACATGCTTCAGCCACAAGAGAATCATCTTCAAAAGAAAGACCGGTAGTGACAAATATTTGTGCTGTGATGCCAGCACTCTGGAAGCCTGAGGCAGGAGCATCTCAAATTCAAGGCTATTCTGTTCAAAGCCTGCCATGAGCCATACAGTGGGACCACTTAGAAAACAACAACAAAAATGGTAAAGACTGGACTGGATAGATAGCACAGTAGGTAAATCATTTGTTCAGAGCCCCAGAACCTATACACAAGCCATAAGGACTGGAACTAGCACCTGGTGTGTAATCCCAGTGCCCCTATTGGTAGATGGGCGGCCCAGCAATCTCCAACCCCCAACTCAAGCTTACTGGTGAATCCAACCATGAATAACAAAAAGCCCCATTTCAAACAAGGTGAAAGAGAAGGACCAATCTCTGATATTGTCTTCTGACCTCCACACATGTACACGCCTACACTCACAAGCAAACACGCCAATCACCACCGGCAGCTCGGTGTGGAGGTGCACGCCTTTAATCCCAGCACTCAGGAGGAAGACGCAGGAGGATCTCTGAGTTAAAGGCCACCTGGTCTACAGAGTGAGTTCCAGGACACTCAGAGCTACAGAGAAAACAAAACAAAACAAAACAAAAAACCCTGTCTCAAAAAAACAAACAGTGGGAAACTGTTTAACTGGTAAAAGTGTACAAAAGAACAATAATGTGTTTCTATGACATATTTGTCATAATAGAAGTCGTGGTTCCAACATAGTTGTCCAGCATTGGGAAAGCAGAAACAGAATTTCAGACCAGCCTGGTCTACATAGAGACTAGAAAGCCAGCCAGCATTCCATAGCAAAACACCACCTTTGAAAAAACTAAAACTAAAAACCATTATGGTACTACATCAAATTTCAGACTAGAGAATCTACCATTGAAACTGTACAATTTCAAGAAATTTTAACCTGGTGTCACATTCACCTCAAACAAAAGTTGAAAATGACCAAACAATTTCATATCTTATTCATAATTGTTGAGACGTAATGAAGTCACACTATTAAACAGTAACGAAGACGCAAAGCCGTGCCCTGTTGTAGGAAATTAGAGGGTGGAACCCCCCCCCCACACCCCCTTCAACCCTTATAGCAATACAGTTTTGCAAGAGAAACTTATCTTTAAAAAATAATAACAACTGATCATAACCGAATCATGTTTTGGTCTTTTAGAAACCCACGAACCATTCGTTGCTGGGGTGAATGAATGGTGCTGTTCAAAATCAAAAACAAAAAGAACGGGAACTAGGTTGGGAGTCCTCGGAACCAGAACCCTCCAAATTCCCCATCCCATTTCAGTCTCTGCTCTGTGACCTTGGAGAAGGTCCCGGCTTGGAGACTTCTCTCCAGAGCTCGGTTCCAAACGCGTGGACGGTGATGGGCCAGGTCCCCAGGCATCGCAGACTCCTCATCCCGCTCCCGGTCCTCGAAGGTCCTCCCCACGGACTCAGCCACCGGCTTATTCCAAGCAGTCTGTTCCTGCTTCCCCCTGCGGGTGTCTCCTGGATCTGCACCGGCTTTGTGTCCGGCTGCCAAGAAGGGACCTTCCGACCACCCTTCCACCGGCTGAGAAACGCCCCACTTGTCTCTCTCTCCCTCCCTCTCCTCCTGCGCTTCCCCTCCACACAGAGGCTCTGCCAACCCGGCTCCCCGGAGACGCCCGCCAGGACCGGGACACGAGACCCCTCTCCTGCCCTCCCCTCGGGACGACTCATCTGAAGAAGCCCTGCAGTCCCAGGGGCCCGTTCTTCCCCGGCCTCCCCCTTTCCCCGCCACCGGGGTCCGAGAACCCCGCTCACCTCCGCGGTGAGAGATGTGCCTACTGAGGAATCGCTGTTTCTTTTTCTGGTGCAGCAACGTTGGGTATTTAAGCAACAAGAACGAGGTGACCAAATACCCTCCCAGGGTAGAGAGGAGGCAAAAGGCCGCGGTGGACGACATCCTCGGCCACCACCTGGAGGGCCTCTGCACCCCACTGCGCCGCGGAGGCAGCAACGGCTGCGGCGCCGGCGGCTGCTCGAGGTCTCCTCGCCCCCAGCCGGCGCCCTGGGCGCAGCGCACTTGTGCTTGCGAGCTCAACACGCAGGCGCAGCCCGACCCCGGCGGCCGAGCAACAAAGGGGCTCCGATACGCAGGCGCGCTGCGGCAGGCGGCGTTTGTCCTCCAGCCGCCGCGGTCGGGCCCCGAGGTCCTTCTAGAAGGGTCCTGGGACAGGAGGTTGGAAACTCTTTGCCAGTGTTTTTATTTGTTTGCTTTTCTTCTTTGGCATCCCTCAGGCGGAAGAGGCTCTCGAGCCAGGACAGCCTTCAGGAAAATCGGATGTGACTGGGAAATGTGTATCAAAGGGGGAATAACTCCAGGGCAGGTCCTGGTCTCTTCTGTAGGGAATTCAAAGAATTGTTACCGATGCCTCGAATTCTTTACGTACTCAAGAAACGTTGACTTAATAGTTTGTGTAGGAAGCTTAGGGCTGGAAGGCATAGCCCGGTTGGTAGAGCGTATCAGATTCCATCTCCGGCACAAAATAAATATAAAAAAGGAAACTAGCAACTAAATCGTTTCCTACAAACACTGACAACTGAATTTTCCATTTTTTTCCTTTTCACCTCACACATTACAAACTACGAAAACACTAGGAACCAGGTTTTAGAGGGGTAGGGTCTCTGTTTTATGAGATAGGGTCTTAGGTAGCCTAGTCTGAGCTTGAATTCACCATGCAGTAGAGGATGGAGCCTTGAGCTCCTCATTCTCCTGCCTCAGCCTCCAGAGTGCTGGGATCACAGGCATGCCCAATTGAGGATCAGATTTTGTGCAAAGGAACTAACCTCAAGGGCTGTGGCTGAATGAAGCTCAGTGGTAAAGCACTTTCCTAACATGTTCAAGGCCTTGGGTTTTGTTTGGTTTACTGAGACAGGGTCTCACGGTGTAGACAAAGCTGGCCTCAGATTCACAAAGATCATTTTGCCTCTGTTTTGGGATTTTTCTTTTCTTTTTTCTTCTCTCCCTTCCCTTCCCGTCTTCTCCTCTCTTTTCCTCTCCTCTCCTCCTTTCCCCTCTCCTCTCCTCCCCTCTCCTCTGTTCTCTTCTCTCTCTCCTTTTTTACTTTTTTTAGAGACAAGATCTCGCTCTGTACCCTTAGCTGACCTGGATCTCACTATGAAGACAGGGCTGGAAATCCACCTGCCTCTACCTTCCAAGAACAAACTCCTTAAGGGAGCAACAAACTGACTCAGTATTTAGCTCAGGCTGGCTTCAGACTCCTAGGGTCAAGGAGTCTTCTTGCGTCATCCTCCTGATTAGCTGGAAGTGCAGGCTAATCTGATCTGCTGCACCTGATCTCATCGTTTATTTTTATGCATTTACTTTGTGTGTACGTGGGTGCACATGTGAAGTCAGAGGACAGCCTCAGGGAGGCAGTCCTCTCCTTCCGCCATGGGAGACCTGAGATGGCAGCCTCCTTCTCCCACCAAGCCGTCATGCTGAGCCAACTAACAGTTTTTGGAAATGTGACAATCACTGTATATCATAGCTTGAGACTGAAATCTCTAATCCTGTTAGCGCAGAATTTTAAAATGTATCTGGGAATATAGAATCAACTATACTCCATTGGGTTCTGATTTATCTAATTGATGATATAGCCACAATTGGTGATACAGTGGTATGCTGGGAAAAGTTACAATTGGTAAGATTTATACACTTAGCAAATTACTTTGTAGAATAGGTATTTAACTAAAGAACATTTATACCAGGGCTGAAAGTACCAATCTGTAATCCCAGCTACTCTAGAGACTGAGGCAGGGGAACTGTAAATTCTAGGCTTGCCTGGGCTATAGAATGAATTCAAGCTAGATACTGTCTTCAAATATAAAGAACAAACCAGAATGGGGACATAACTCAGGGTTATACATGATACCTGAGTACTGAAAAAAAGTGTTTTGGGGGAAGGGGCACACAATCTATAATCCCAGTTTTAGATAGGCTGAGACAGAAGTATTTGAGTGTGAGGCCAGGGGCTGGAAAGATGGCTCAGCCAATTGATAGCATTTGTTTTCTTTCTGTCTTGTTTTTGAGATATGGTTTCTCTGTGTAGCCCTGGTTGTCCTGGAACTCATTCTGTAGACTAGGCTAGCCTTGAACTCAGAGATCAGTCTGCCCCTGCCTCCAGAGTGCTGGAATTAAAGTTGTGTGCCAACACCACTTGTTTTTACAAAAGATCTGAGTTCAATTCCCATGGTGATTCGCAACTGTCCATAACTCCAGTTCCAGGGGAACCAACACCTTCTTTTGACCTCAGAGGTAACCAGGCATGCAATGTTGTACATACATACACACACATGCAAAACATACATACATACATATAAAAAGTAAATCAGAGCTAGGTGGCAGTGGTGCACGTCTTTATCCCCAGCATTCTGGGAGGCAGAGGCAGGTAGATCTCTGAGTTTGAGGCCAGACTGGTCTACACAGTGAGCTCCAGGACAGCCAGAACTTCGTAGAGAAACCATGTCTCAAAAACAATAAATAAATAAATCTTTAAGGGAGGGGGGCAAAACTTGAGGCTAGGTTGCTCTACATAGCTAGTTCCAGGATAGCCAGGGCTACATACAGTGTGTCTCAAAAAAACAAAAACAAAAACAACAACAAAAAACCTGGAGAGACACGTAGGTAAGAGCACTGACTGCTCTTCCAGAGGAACTAGGTTCAATTCCCAGTCCCACCACTCACAACCATGGCAGCTCACAACTCTCTGTAACTCCTTTTCCAGGGGATCCAACACCCTCATACAGACATACATGCAGACAAAACATCAATATACAACATACAATTAAAAAACAATAATAAAGCACCAAACTTTTGCAATTAAGTCAGTCCTTGAGGCAATAATCTAGTTACCTTGTTCTTTTGCTCCTATTTGTTTTTTGTTGAGCCTCTTCGTGGAGTCTGATAGTTCAGGCTGGCTTCCAACTAGCTAATGGAGTCTAGGGTGGTCTTGAACTTCTAATCTTCTTATCTTTGCCTCCTAAATGCTAGGATTACAGGCAAGTGCTATTATATTTGGCCTTTTTTGACTTTATACAGGTTTTGTTATGTAGTTAGTATAGGTTTGCCTTAAATTCAAGAATTTAGTATTAGAGGCATTGGGATATATTCAACTTGCTTTGAAGACAATTTGAAAAGCACCATCTTGCCAGGTGCCGGTGGCAAGCATTGTGAAGGAACTGCTTTGATTGTTATCTCAAGAGGCTTACTGCCTCAGTCTGCTAACCTAGGCTTAGTCCTGGAAGCCTCTAGCCTCCATACAATCTAATCTAGGCCTCTGAGATTTACTCCTTAATAAGCTCACCCTGTCTTGTTCTTACTGAGCTCTGGGCTGGCTGGTTCAACTCGGCTGTTCTGGCTCAAACTCCTCTCCCAACTGACTTATTCAATCTGGCTTTTCTCTCGGCCTCAGAATTGCTCTGCTTGGCCTCAAACTAACTCCAGCAATCTGCTCTAATCTTCTGGTTCCTTCTCTGGCTCACCTAGTCTTCACCTGAGTTCTCTCTGCAACCTGCCTCTCTATTACTGTTCTAGTAAAAACTACCTGCTCTTTCTTATTGCCTTTTAAGAAGTTTCCCTTTCCTCTCTCTTCTTGTGAGAGTTAGGCATATCCTATTTTGTAAAATCTTTCTGATTTGTCACTATTTCTGCCACTTAATTAAACATCACTTTCAAACATGGGTGCTTCCTTCTACAAACCAACTTTACCTTCGTTGTTTGGGACTAAAGGCATGTAATACCATGTGTGGATCTAAGCTTTCCTTTACCTGAAACTTCTTCTATACCAGGCTGGCCTTGTACTCAGGTCTGCTTGCCTCTGTCTCCTGGATTAAAGGCATGTTTATATTCTAGCTGGATCACAGACCTAGGTCTTTGGATGTCACCACTCAAGTTCTGAATTAACATTCCTCTATAGTACACCTTTAATCCAAACACTCAGGAGGCAGAGGCTAATAGATCTCTAATCTCTGAGTTCTAAGGCACCCTGGTCTACAGAGTGAGATCCAGGATAGCCAGGACTACACAGAGAAACCCTTTTCAGAAAGATAGAAAGAACAGCAAATTATGATAAAAATATGCATTATAGACAATGAAACAGAAACAAGAGAAAACAGAAATACCAAGTATACATTTTGTATCTTAATAGAATAACAAACTTTTATTGATTTTTATAATAAATATCAATATAATGAAATAATGAAACAGTTATTGTCCAAATACTGAATACTTGTAACCAAACGACATTTTGGTTTTGGGAAAACACAGTTTATAAAAAAAAAAAAAAAAAAACAAAACCTTATGTACATAAAAAACAAGACTAGCAGCAGTTCCAGTCTGGGACTGAGAGGCCAGAACACTCATTGTGTCACTGCTTTAAGGACTCCTCGAAGCACCTTGTAGCTCATGAGCTGCACATTCTCCTTAGGAGGGAAGCAAGGTCCTCTCTCAGTCACGTAGGCATAAGGAAATCTCAAGACCCAAAGGCCATCAGGTGGGAGAGTGATTTCTTGTTTTTCTGGGTAAAATACTGGACATGGTGGTGGGCCTGGTTGAACCTGAAAAACACAGGAACGGAATTACTTTTAAATTTCTCAATAAGAAACACCTGAAAGATAAGTGTCTAACCAGACAATGGCTCAAACACCAAAGATTACGTAGCCACTCTGAAGAGGAAGTCAGAAGCTGACCATATTTTCTTGGATCCTCACCTTGCCAACTTGGTATTTTTTTTCCCTCTGCTCTCTTTGCCATTTTCTGGTGACAGGATCTCTCTCTTCACATGCCTGGCTGTTCTTGAACTCATTCTGTAGACCAGGCTGCCCTCAAACTCAGAGATCCGCCTGCCTGTACCTCTGGAGTTCTGGGCTTAAAGGCCTGTAATCACCACGCCTAGCTTGTCTGCTTTCCCCCCCCCCCTGCACTTCTAAATCATCAGATGTTGGCAAAACTAGAGTTAAATTAAATTCTTACTAATGGTTGTCATAGTTAAATCAATAAAGACCTTGGATTTAAAAATAAA